TTGTGATCCCTAAGTACTACCAGGAGTGATTCCAGAGTGCAGAGCCAGAATAACCCTTGAGCACCAATGAGTGGGGCCTGAAAAACCAAAACCAACCAAAAAATAGGATGTACATGTCACAATCAAGTGATAACAACAAAGGGAAAGGGGACATAGGCTGATAGTACAAAATGAGGCAACACGTTTCAGAAAGTCATATAGCAGAAAAGAGTATTTGAACTCAGTGATTGTGGGCTTACTTGCTGGTTCTGCTGCTTTCTAAAGACTCCTACCCTACATCTGTTTCCTAAGGTCTCTGTATATGTGAGATGCAGGGTGACAGCTCAAAAGGGCCTCATTAAGGGACTGACTGAGAGATAGTACAGTAGATAGAACACTTGCCTTGCATAGTCAAACCAGGTTTGAGTCTCAGAACCCCATATGATCCCCAGAGCCCAGCCATTAGTGATCCCTGAGCAGAGTGCCTGGAGTAAGTTCTGAATACTGTCTGATGTAGTTGTTGTTGGGGCTACATCAAAAATGCCTCACGAACCACTTCATATGCATCAGTATCAGCAAGTTCTACTTTGTCCTCAGATATCTGAACCCTAGATTATTGGGAGTTGGGAGCCAGCTGTATGTATTCTTCTCTGTTCTTTTGTTTGTTTATTTTGTGGGAATTTTTCTTTTTCTTTTTGGATCGACTCACTGCACTGTGCTTGCTCCTGGTAGCACTTGAGGGACCATACAGGACTGGGATCAAACTCAGGCTATGTACGTGTACAGCACAAGCTCAACCCATTGATCAATCTCTTCAGCCCTTCTCTGTTTCTTACATGCTTGCACCAGCCAAGCAATGCCCTCCCTTCATACCAAATGGAAAAGGGAGGCCTATATGATTAGCCCCATTATAACCCCAGGCACTGAGCTCTAATGGACCTTATCTGGTGGGAAATTGTTCACAATTCTAGAAAATGTTTCTGGGAAAATTGGTACATACTGAGTGATCACTGGGAAAGAAGCCTTAACAGTTTGTACCTGGTTTGCACCCAGACATTCCACATTTTCCTTTTCCCTTTGCTAATGTTGCCTTATACTCTTTCATTGTAATAAATCACCTCTAAGAGTACAACTTTGAGTCCTCTCAACAAATCATCAAACCTGCCAGGTGGTTAAGGGGACATGGGATGGTACTTGCATCTGGTGGTTGTTGTTGCATTCTATTCCAGTGTTCCTTTTACTTTTACTTCTTTAGTTTTCTGATCTTTGTTTAGATTTAAACCTCCTTATGTTAAATTTTTTGTTTCAAATAACAAAATATGGGGCCAGAGAGATTCTACAGTAGCAGTACAGAACCAGGATTAAGACCTTAGCATAGCCCGGTGTGGCCCAATGAAAAACACTTTTTAAAATAACATATTTCCAAACTGGTTCCAGTTACTAAAGAAAAATAATTCCAGTTATTCCCATCTGATACTTTTTTTGTTTCTGTATCATACCAGATGATGCTCAGAGTTTTCTCCTGGTTCTACACTCAGAAATTATTCCTGGTGAGGCTTGGGAAGCCATATGAGATGCTGGGGATTGAATCCAGGGTCAGCTGCATGCAAGACAAGCACCCTATCCACTGTGCTATCACTCTAGCCCAATAAACTGACTTTTATCAAAAAGTAACATCTAAAATAGTACTAATCTCTAATAACTCAGTTCCTGATTCAGTCAAAGAAGGTATACTTTACTTTTTGTTTGTCTTTGTGTTTGGGATTGAACCCAAAGCATTAATACAAATAGTTTAAAATAGAACTTATGATGTAGTAGTATAAAATGCCAACATGGGGCTGGAGAGATAATACAATGGGTAGGGCGCTTGCCTTGCAAGTGGCTAACCAGGTTTGATCCCCAGCATCCCATCAGAACTCAAGCACCACCAGCAATAATTCCTGAGTACAGAGCCAGGAGTAACTCCTCAGGATCGCTGGGGGTAGCCCAAAAACTAAACAAAAAAGTAAAAGTAAATGCCACTATTTTCCCCACAGCAGGGATGTGGTGGTCACAGCACCAGTTCAGCACTTGAATGTCAGGCACAGCCAAGCTGAGCATCACTGGGAGTGCTCCCATCCTTACCAAGCATTACTTCATACCACAAAGTATCTAGCAAGAGATGACTACAATGAACAAAACAGGAGTCTAAAATAATAATCATATATGTATATACATATATACATGCACAACACCTTGAATCACTGTATCACTGTCATCCTGTTATTCATCAGTTTCCTCGAGCAGACACCAGTTATGTCTCCTTAGTCCTTCGTCCTAGCCCTGAGATTTTAGAAAGTGCCACATTTGAGGCTCTTTCAGGGTCAGGAGACTGAGACCCATCATTGTTACTGGTTTTTGGCATATTGAATATGCCACAGGGAGTTTTCCAGACTCTGCCGTGTGGGCAGGATACTTTTGGTAGCCTGCCAGGTTCTCCAGAGTTAGAAGTAGATAATAAGATGATAACTAGATAATAAGATGAGATGAGATGAGAACTAGATAATAAGAATATTTCTGTAAATATACATTCCACCAAGTCACTATTCTGCCATCAACAACAGTGATGTTTCCTCACACAATAAAATCCAAAATTGTTACCATGCCTTTTTGGCATAATTAAACTACAGCCCTCACCACCTCTCTAACTTCATTACTTACCAGGATTGTCTTTCTTATTCACTGTACTCCAAAGCTGTTCTCTTCATAAAACACAACAAAAGAGCTACTACTTAGGACATTTGCTTTCCCCACAATTATTTACAGTTCACTTATGTCTCTGTTTAGTACCATCTTCTCGGTACCATCAACTACTTTACCCATCCCAATCTCTGCTCATCTTTACTAATTTTTTTTTAATTTAAACCACACCCACAGTGCTGAGAAGCTACTCCTTGCTCCTTGCTCCATGTCAGGGGGTGCGCCCAGGGGTGCGGGGATCTAAGCCTGACCTCCTGCACACCAAGCACAAGTGCCTTCCTGCCAAGTTTCTCTCCAACCCCTCTTTATTATGATCTACAGCAAAGACATGTTATTTATTGATAGCCTCTCCTAGAATATAATTCTATAATAGCAAAGACTTTAGTTCACTTATTCAGCATCTAAGAGTAAAGTGCCCAATAAGTACTTGTTGACTACTTATAATCAATGATTTCATTTACTACTTAGAATTTTATGCAGTAGGATAATAAAATAGGTAGCCCTAGATTTTATCCCTGGCACCAGGATAAAAAAAAAAAACTTTAGGCAGTAGAAAATATCGCTATTGTCTCGATACAATTTACAGAAAACTAATTTTTTTTATTTTTTTGCTTTTTGGGTCACACCTGGCGATGCACAGGGGTTATTCCTGGTTCATGCACTCAGGAATTACTCTTGGCGGTGCTTGGGGGACCATATGGGATGCTGGGAATCGAACTCCGGTGGGCCGGATGCAAGGCAAATATCCTACCTGCTGTGCTATTGCTCCAGCCCCCCAGAAAACTAATTTTAAAAGGTTAAATAAGGATGAGGAGGTGAAAGGAAAAATAATAAATGGTCTCTGAAATGAATGAATCAAATCAGTCATCAAGTTTGATGAATAAGAGAAAGGCAAACTACACACATGCCAATTAAAGTGTTGAATATGTTTTCTAGCCCATAACTAACATTTTAATTGGTCTTTGTACCAGCTCAGTGACAGTACAGTGGGGAGGGTGTTTTGCCTAGCAGCTGGCAAACCCCTTTCAATCCCCAACACCCTTGTGCCCCTAGGAGTAATCCCTTAGCACAGATCCAGGAGTAAGCCCTAAGCACCACTAGGTGTGGTCCCCAAACAAACAAAATAATAAAATGTTTGGTTGTACTGGAAGAAAGTTGACAGAACTGAGTGTCCAACCTTATGTGTGAAGTGGTCTAGCAAAAGTCCCCTAAAAAAGTTGCCGAGCTTTAGTGCCCATTTCAAACGCCTGGCAGGCTGAGATGCTCCTCCCTAAGATAATCAGTTGTGTCCAGGAAGCTTTAGAGACCCCACCATTGCTCCATTCTGCTCCACAGTTCCTAGAACTGACCTGGGCGTTCCTGCCTCAATTTGGCCTAGCGTGACACCCAAATTCGTAAAATTCGCCACATTACTCCCTCCCTGGGATAAGCTTTAGTTATTTTATGTGCTTTCTATTATCTCTACATGATTGGCTCAGAATATTTCACAGTTGATCCAAATTATTACACGTATTTATCCTTTCTATGTGATTGGCTTAGAATATTTTATACACAACTTCTTCCCCAAAATTGGGTACATGTCTCCTGCCTGCCCCCTCGCACGACTAATCTATAGAAAGCAGAAGTTTTTGGCCTGAAGAAACCCAGCTAACAAGTCACCTAAGAATGCTAGATGGAACTCTGTCTTCCACTGTGTCAGTCTGACCACTGTACCATCAATAAACTGAATTTGCGCTGCCTAAACCGTCTCACCCTCCTGATAAACAATCTTTTAGTACCCCGAGGCTTGGAGCCAGCGGGGCCTGGCTTGGGGCACACGCTCCTTAGCCCTTCCACGTGGCTCTCCGTAACCCTCTGGGTTAAGCATAGCAGGTGCGGTCCTTGACAAGCAATGACAGCGAGAAGGCTGATCGGCCGCACTTGACAGTCAAGGAGGTCCGCAAACGGGTTTGGGCAGTTACATAATTAACACCCAGAAACGCGGGTTTCCTCCCACCCCGGGGCGGTGCTCACGTGCGGGGGCCTCACGACCGGAAACAGCTGGAAGAGAGCGGCGAATCCCAAGCGAGTCCCAGTGCGGGAGGTGGGGGCGAGCGGTCACCGTGAGTCTTACGTAAGGCGCCAGGGCGCGGCGGGAAGCTGAAGCGGACCAGGGAGGGGGGCGGGGCACAGGTCACCGTGCGCTTCTCTGATTGGTCGAGGGGGTGACGCTGACCTTTCCAGTCTGTCTACGGCAGTGGGTGCGTCAGTCAGCCTGAGGGCGTGGCTAGGGGCCGCGGGGACCCGCCGATTGGCTGGAAGGCGCGGGAGCCAGGCCGCCCGGCCGGTCCCGAGGAGGGCGGCGCCGTTGGCTCGGTCCCGGGTCCGGCGGTGACCGGCTTCTGTGAGACCGCCATGGCAGCTCAAGCCGGTCAGCAGACCCTGAGAAAGGTTGTGTCGGGGTGTTCTCTGAAGCGGGCAGCAGTGACCGGAGTACTAGCCACGGCACAGCGACCTGCGCGAAATGTCAGGTAATAAACTACGGGGGCGGGGTTGTGGGGGTGGGGGTGGGTCATCGCGATGACCTGGGGTCGCTTGCTTCGGCCGAGTGGAAGGATTGGGGGAGATTTGAATTCAGGCGGGGCGGACTGGATGTGCCCGGACTTCCTGAGTGTGGAAGGGAAAAGGGGCTTTAGCGTTGGGCTTTGGGGAGACGCGGTCGCGGAGGGCATCCTTCCGCGCCCGTGGACCCTTAGCTCTGTCTCTGCTTCCGCGTCTGTTCCGTTTCCCCGACCTCGCTAGAAGCCTCGGCAGAGCGCTGTTGACAGCCGCGGATGCTATTCCCCGGCGAGGGCAGACGCGGGCACTTCCGGTCTCCTCTCCTCCGGACCTGCTGCTTGGGTCCCGAAGTGCCCACAGCGTGCTGCGGTGGTGGCCTGTGGAGCTGATGACCTGGGGGGGTGATCTCCCTTAATTTTCCTCGGTTCAAGATCGCCAGATACTCTTTCCCAGTTTTTGCTGGAGGTTTTTGCCTCTCCGCCCTTTGATACTCGCAAAACGGTATTAGCCCACTTATGGGACATGGGTTTTGTTGTTGTTGTTGTTGTTATTGTTTTTTAATCACCTCTCTGTAACCTTGAACATCTGCCTTTGATGTTTCTAGTTGGTTCCTTTTTGGTGGGTGGTGGTTGAGACGCAGTTAGAAACTTGGATTCGGTACTCCACTTAAAGTTGCTTTTCACTTGGAAGATTACTTAAGTTTCAGTGTTAAAGCTGGAGATTAAATTAATTCACTTGTCAATATTACGGGAAGAAGGAATAAAGCACGATTGTCGCTGAATTCCAAGACATTTAGATTCACTGGGTTAAAAAATCAACAACCAGCCAACTCCACATCCTTTTAGACATACTGTTTGAACTAAAATATTGGCGGATTAGTATTTTAGACTGAATAGTATTTAATAGTATTCACTATTTTATATCCTTAATATATGACAGCAACATTTTACGACTTCTGGAAATAATTTTTAGGTAACTTATAGCAGAATGTGCTCTAGCATATTCTAAATCTCTCTTTATTACTATTGTAAAATGTTGGTTTGCAAGTAAATGTTGCTTGCAATTAAAAAGAGCTTTTCACAAATGAAAACTTGAGTTTCAAGGTGATTATATACTGTTTATGGTAATGAAGAAAGAGGGAGTTTATGAATTCATTCCCCATATGATGCATTAACGGGTTTATCATGATAGAATATTTAAGATAGTATTGGAAGATTAGTGGCAAAAAAGATGTTCCTCATTTAATGTAATATTTATTTTATGGCTTAATTGTATATGTGTATGAATCCCCATATTGCATTTCAGGGCATTATTAATAAGGCCAAGAGATAGAGTACAGGGCATAATGCAGTTTCCTTGCAGGAAGCTGACCAAAATTCAGTCCCTGGCACCACATATGATGCCTTGAGATCACCAGGAATGATCCCAAAGTACACAGTCAGATGGGAACCCTTAACACAGCTGGATGTGGCCCAAAAGCAAACAGAAAAGACATTACTGATAATGTCTGGAAAGTAGGGAATTTTTTATCTTTTAATTTATTTTGAGGGATCATGCCAGGTGCTACTGAGGTATTGCTTCTCGTCCATATGGTGCTGGAGAAGACATCCCCTCCCCCCACCATACACACAGTACCCATTCTTGCATGCAAATATGCATTAACCCTTGAGTTATCTCCTGGCCCCTTCATTACTACATATAAAGTATAACATGCAGGGGTTGGAGAGATAGCTCAGAGGACTGGGTTTGTTTTGCTTGCAGGAGATTCAAAGATCTTCTCTGGTACCTTATGGTTCCTCCAGCATGGTTGGGAATGATGTGAGAAACTCCTTCAGCCATCTCTCCACCCTCCCCACCCCCTTCCAAAATAGTATGCAAACTTCCCAGGAAAATTTATCTTCCTGTGAGCAGCAATTTTCCTTTAAACGGTTATAGAGTGCACTGTAGCACTGTCCTCTCATTGTTCATCGAGTTGCTCGAGCAGGCCCAGTAACGTCTCCATTGTGAAACTTGTTGTTACTGTGTTTGGCATATTGAATATTCATGGGTAGCTTGCCAGACTTTGCTGTGCGGGTGAGATACTCTCGGTAGCTTGCAGAGCTCTCCGAGAGGGGCAGGGGAATCGTGGAGGAATCGAACCCAGCTCAGCAGGGCTTGCCGTGCACAAGGCAAAATGCCCTACCGCTGTGCTATCACTCCAGCCCATGCCTTGCATATATAAGGCTCTCTGTTCTATTCCTGGCATTGCCAAGAGAAAAAACTTCAATTATATAAGGTTTCTTGAATGGAGTGTGTACAGCAGCTGGAAGAAAACAATACATGAATCTGTGGCAAAATTCAGAATCATGGGTGGCTGAGCGATAGCACAGGGCATTTGCCTTGCACAAGGCTGACCCAGGTTCGATTCCCAGCATCCCATATGGTCCCCTGAGCACCACTAGGAGTGATTGCTGAGTGCAGAATCAGGAGTAATCCCTGTGCATCTCCGGGTGTGACACAAAAAGCAAAATAAACAAATTCAGAATCATGGGACTGGATTTGCAAGAGGTAAGGAGGCATTTAGCTGACCCCAATTCAGATCTCTTGCACTACATATGGTCACCCAACACTGCCAAGGATCCCTCCTGAGGAGAGCCAGGAGTAGTCTGAGCAACAACAGGTATGTTACGTCCCCATAATTTCAGAATTTTACTAGAAAAAGTAAGCTTATTAATCAACCCTACACCTGCTTACCTATTCCTTTTTTCCTTTTTATAATTTTACCTTGGGCTGGAGCGATAGCGCAGCGGGTAGGGCATTTGCCTAGCAAGCGTCCAACATGGCCAACCCGAGTTCGATTCCTCCGCCCCTCTGGGAGAGCCCCGCAAGCTACCGAGAGTATCTCATCCGCCTGGCAAAGCCTGGCAAGCTGCCTGTGACGTGTTTGATATGCCAAACACAGTAGCATTTGTCACAATGGAGACATTACTAGGCCTGCTCGAGCAAATCGATGAACAACGGGAGGACAGTGACAGTGACAGTGATAATTTTACCTTAATTTTTGTTTTTTGTTTTTGGGATTTGTTTTGGGGCCATTCTCAGGAATGCTCAGGGGTTACTCCTGGCTTCTGCACTCAGGAATTACTATTGACGGTGCTCGGGGAACATGTGGGATGTCGGGGATCACACCCAGGCAAACATCTTATCTGCTTTTATGTCACTCCAACCCCCATTTACCTATTTCAAAGTGAAGGTCTTATTTTTCTTTATATCGTATTTTATCTCAGAGAAGTTGTCTTTCAGGATATGATTTATCAGAAAGTTATTAATCTCTGTATACAGTGTTTGTTACATGATTAATTTCTAACAATAGGTAACAAGGTGTCTAGTAAAAAAGTTCTAGGGCTGGAGCGATAGTTCAGTGACTAGGTTGCTTGCCTTGCACTCAGCAGCCCCAGTTTCGATCCTCAGCATTCCATATGATTCCCTGAACCCTGCTGGGAGTGATTCCTGAGCACAGAACCAGGAGTAAGGCCTGAGTATCTCTGGATGTGACCCCCAAAACAACAAAAAAGTGGAGGAAATAGCTAAAACTTTTTTTGGGGGGAGGTCACACCCAGCGATGTTTAGGGGTTACTCCTGGCTCTGCACTCAGGAATTACTCCTGGCAGTATTTGGGGGACCATATTGGATACTGGGGATCAAACCCGGGTCGGCCACATGCAAGTGAAACACCCTACCCACTTTGCTATTGCTCCAGCCCAATAGCTAAAAACGTTTAAGGGCAGGGACTTGGGGACACAAAGAGTACAGGAGCTAAGTAGCTTGCCTTGCACATGGCTGAGCCTGGTTTAGTCCCTGGAACCACTTATGTTCTAAACACAAGCAGGCTCAAGCCTGCACGCAGAATCTGCTCAACACATTAGGCTCTGTCCCCTCCAGCTCTGGCCATATATTCTTACACGTATTCATTGAAATGGAGAAGATAAATAATAGCAAAAGTTCTTATAGACCCACCAAATTTCATTCTCAGGATGAGACCTAATTTTAAATTTTGTTAGAGAAGACCAAGAATTAATGGGCCAGAATGATAGTACAGTGGGGAAGGCTCTTGCCTTGCACTCGGCCATCCTGGGTTCAATACCTGGCCTCCTATACAGTCCCCAGAGCACTGCCAGGAGTAATTCCTGAGTGCAGAGCCAGGAATAATCACTGGGTGTGGCCCAAACACAAAAGAATTAAAGAACCTCTCTGGAGCCTGTTCAGAAGATAACCTGAGTAGATAGGGGCTGGAGAGAACCCAGCAGGTAGGGTGCTGGCCTGTATATAGAGTACTGGGGTTCAATCCCTGGCACCCCATATAGTCCCTCAAACCCTAACAAAAGTGATTCCTGAACATAGTGCCAGGAGCAATCCCTGAGCTCTGAGAAATGCGACCCAGAAGAAAAAAGAAAAGTTGTAAGATAGTTGATGAAAAGCAGACTTATGATAAAAATACGTAATTTCAGGACAAAAGCAATTGTACAGTATGTAGAGAGCTTGCCTTGCATGCAGCCGGCACAGGTTCAATCACCATACCCCATGTGGTCCTTCGAGCCTGCCAGGAGTGAACACTGAGCTCAGAGCCAGGAGCAAGCCCTCAGTATGGCCAGGTGTTGCCCAAACTGTCCCCCCTCCCCAAGAAAAGTAGTTTCATGTGACCACAGGCTGAAAATCATCTTTATGATAAACATACCTTTTGTGTTATAAGCTTCTAACCCTAATTGTAATCAGATTTCTTTAGTTTTCTTTGTCTATATTTGTGTTTGTGTTTATATATTTTTTCAGGAATAGTCTGTAATTTAAAAGCCTTCTAGAATGTGATACTTATTTACTATTTATGGATTATATTACCTCTGAATTTTCAGTGTCAACTCTACATCTAGTAATTTTTGTCTTTTTAGATACTTAGCTTCCTGTTGTATACTGATGAGCAGAACTTTTCCTCTACATACCTCAGTTTTGCCAAAGGATATATATGCAAGAAATTTCTTCAAAATTACTGCACCACTAATAAAGAAAAGAAAAGAATATTCAGAGAGGAGGATTATCGGGTTTGTATATTACTTAATAGTCCTACTAAAAGAGTACATTAATAATTTTCTATAGTGTATCATTTATATTTTTTTCTCAATTATCTTAGAAATTCTGATTTTTCTAGACTGGTCTTTCCATAATCCTTGTTTTATATTTGTTGAGTAAATACAATTATGTGGTAGCTCTTAGGGATAGATTTAAACCTTGATATGCTGAAGAAGTAATGCAATTATTTAGTACCTGCATTTCTATTTGCTATTCTTTTTTTATAAATACTAATAAACTGATGCAAAACATACTCACAGTCACGATCCTCCCGTTGTTCATCAATTTGCTCGAGCAGGCCCAGTAACGTCTCCATTGGAGACTTTGTTGTTACTGTGTCTGGCATATCGAATACGTCACGGGGAGCTTGCCAGGCTCTGCCGTGCGGGCGAGATACTCTCGGTAGCTTTCCGGGCTCTCCGAGAGGGGCGGAGGAATCGAACTCGGGTCAGCCATGTTGGCCGCTTGTAAGGCAGACGCCCTACCGCTGTGCTATTGCTCCATAAAACATATAGATGTTTATGTCACTGCCTCATATTTATATGTAAATTGGTACATAGAGACATAGAGGGATTCCCACCATTGAACTGGAAGATGGCAAACATTTTCTCTAAATAATATGTTCTGCTATATCTGTTGAATTCTGTCATTGTAGCACTTAAATGGCCATCAACAGTGTTTATTTATTTATGGATTTGGTGCCACACCTGATTCTCAGGGCTTACTCCTGGTTCTGCACTCAGGAATCACTCCTGGTAGGATTCCAGATCATATGCAGTGCCAGGGATTGCACGCAGGTGGTTGCTGCAAGGCAAGTGCCTTATCCTGCTATACTGTTATTTCTAGCCCCACAGTAGTGAGTATAGCTTTATTCTATGCAGATAGGCAATGACCTAGGATTGGCTCTGACTAAGGGGTATGTGTATATATATATATAGCAGATATATGTGTGTGTGTGTATATATATATATATATATATATAGATATATATATAGATATATATATAGCAGAGAATAGAGAAGCTATGCTTTGACAAAACCAACATCAGTTTCAACAAGGGTCCTTTATTTCCGGACAGTTCAATAGTATTACATGAATTCTTACAAGACTACATTTCATCAGTTTTCACTCATTTTTTTCCCATGACAATTCTCACAAAATCTGCTTTTATTGTAAGCTAGTCACTAATGTTAATTAAAGTGATACTAGAAACTACACAGATGAAACCCAGACTTTTATTTCTTCCTGAATGTTCAAATGGATATTCCAGATACATGATTCAGAAACTCAGGCTCCATCCAACTAGTGATTTTTATAATGTTTTTGTCTTATTTGGTTTTGTTTTTGTGCCATACTGGGGAGGATCGTGGGTTACTCCTGTCTCTGCAGTCTGAAATTACTCCTGGAGGTGGTCAGGGGATGAAACAGATGCCAGGGATCGAACCCCTGCCCCTAGTGAGAATGTAAGCATTTTTAAAGACAAAGATTGTCTTCATCTTTTTTTATATTCATCGATTGCCTCGAGCAGGCCCCAGTAACGTCTCCTTCATCCTAGCCCTGAGATATTTTTAAAAAGTGCCATATTCAAGGCTCTTTCAGGGTTAGGAGAATGAGACCCATCATTGTTACTGGTATTTGGCATATTGGGTACACCACGGGGAGTTTGCCAGACTCTGCCATGTGGGCAGGTTACATTCAGTAGCCTGCCAGTTTGTCTAGTAAGCCCTCTTTTTATATATATAAATTTATTTATTGAATTCACCGTGAGAGCAGTTACAAGGCTTTCGGGTTTAAGTCTTGGTCATGCAATGATGAAACACCTGTCCCTTCATCAGTGCACATTTTCCACCACCAAGAACCCCAGGATACCCCCCATCCCACACCCTCCCCCTACCTGTATGGCAGATGATTTCCATATTACTCTCTCTCTACTTTGATTACATTCAATATTTCAAGACTAGACCCACCATTATTATTTGGGATTTTACAACAACACTCAGATCTGTAGAAAAGGCAACATTAGACAATTTGTTTTCTATTGCTGATTATGAATAGTTTTTGATGTTGTACAGCCATGCAATTTTGGAATTCTGAAATCTTGATAATTAAATCTGAAGGGATTTCTGCCAAAAGCTGCTGGGTTCTGAGATTTATTTTTGAGTCTCTGGGATCATGGCTTAAGCAGCTTGTTGAGTAGCCAGAGAGCCCATCGTGGGCTGTGACTCGGAGGTCTCTTTGGGGAGGGGAGGAAAGGGCTAACCCCGCCTCCATCCCATGAGGCCCTTCATGTCTCCTCACTGTGGGCCTCTACCTAAATGTCCATTGGCCTCTGGAAGATGGCGGATCCAGAGCCACCATGGGGAACAGGTGGTGGATCGTTACCTTTCCCCACCTGGGGAGGCCCGGGGCCGGTAACTTAATGTGGAGTCTGGACACATTTCTGCCAAAAGCCGCTGGGTTCCAAGATTTATTTCTGAGTCTCTGGAATCATGGCTTAAGTACTTTGTTGAGTAGCCAGAGGTCCCCTGTCTTCATCTTTAAGCAACCATTTTGTTTGGTTAGTGGTATGTAGTTTTGGTTTGGGTTTTGTTTTTATGTTTTTTGTCTTTTTTTGTTTTTGTTTTTGGGTCACACCTGGCAGTGACTCAGATCTCAGGCTCTGCGCTCAGGGAATGAAATCAAGTGGGCTGCGTGCTTGGCATACCTGAGCCTTTTTTGTTGTTGTTGTTCAGTCTCCAGCATTTTATGGCTTTCTGTCTTCTGCTTCACTGGGTATTGCCTTGTGTAATCCAAACACCCCTGGGAGATGTTGTTTTTCCCCCAGAAAAAAAGTGTTTGCCCTGTATTGCTTTGGAATGGGTGTGGGGGTGGGGTGGGTGCCATGGATTGAACCTAGGCATACACTTGATTTTGAACTGTAGAACACTTTACATTCTCCCAGATATTATATGGTCACAATGGTAAGTTGTAGTCATGTGATCCATGCAAAATTGGGGCACCTCAGTAGTCGTCCCTGTGGAGGTGTTAATTTCCTATAGGAGCATCTTCTGAAGCAGGAACAAAGCTTTTATTATATATTTGTCTTTGCCACAGCTAGAATCTGTTGAAAAGAGAAGTATCATATGTAAAGAATAAGAAATTAAATATTAAAATAGCCTGCTGCATTTTTGAATCACCAATAATAGCTTCCTTTTACGATATACCTGCCATTGAACAGGCACTTTTGGGTGTTTTTTAAGTTCTTGCAGTAGCTGTGTGCATGAGGTATTATTCCCATTTTAACGTAATGGGGGACCTGAGAAAAAGTAACGAGCTCAGAAAGACCTTGTACATTAAATGTCATGCCTCTGAAGCTTATTTTTCCCACCCTGTGTGCTTATTTCTCCTCCTTTTTCATGCTAAATTCATTGTTCTTTTATTTTTGGTTTTGGTTTTTTGGGCCAGACCAGCTGGCGTTTGAGGACCAGGATGGGATTAGGATTGTTTAAATCAAAAGTTCCAACAACAGAACATGTCCTTTAATTCATTGAGTTAACTCTTCAACCCTGATTAAGTGCTTATTAAGCATCATCTACAGTGCTGAAATTTTTTTCATTTAACCTTCAAAAGAATCCCTTAGCTGATATTTTAAAATTATGGTTTTAAAAAATGAACTTAATAGGATAAGAAATCTATCCAAGGCCGCATGGCTTATTACGTATTAGAGTCAAACTTGGGCTTGGGGGTCACACCTGCAGTGATTGAGGGCTAGTTCTGGCTTGGTTCTCAGGGAGAACAAAGCTATCTCTGTCTGACGGCAATTTATGTAGGGTCAGACAGAGAGATAGCTCACAAGGCTAAATGCATGTTTGTCATGCAAAAAAATGAAATTATTTCTAAGTATTTTGCTTGAGAACCATATTACTTGCCAGGGATTTAATCCAAGTCCACTGTGTGCAAGGCAAACATCCTACGCACTGTACTGTCTATCTGGCCCCATATGTTTTTTGGTTTTGGTGTTTGGTCCACAGCTGGCAGTGCTCATGGCTTACTCCAAGGATCACACCTGGCAGGGCTCCAGGGACCATACTGGGTGCCAGGGATCAAATCAGAGTCAGCCAGCTAAAAGGCAAGTACCCTACCCAATATACTGTCACTCCAGTCTCCAGTATTTTGCGTTTCTATTCTACTGTTTTCTGTCATGCTCTTGTTGGTATAGAAAAAATAAAATTTTGAAAACATATTTTAGAATAACCTACATTTTATTTTATTTTGGTTTTTTATTTTGGGGGTCACATTTGGCAATATTGGGCTACTCCTGGCTCTGTGCTCAGGAGGAGTGACTCCATGTGGTGCAGTGATCGGAAGGGGCTCAGCAGGATGCATAGCAAGCATCTTAACCTCTGTTCTATCTCTCAACTCACAAACTATCTCTTATAACAAGAAATTTGAATTGATTCTCTTCTGAATGATGGTCATATTAGCTGCTGATTAACAATTCCTCTGAATTTTTATTGTGTGTGTATGTATATGTATATATACATACACGCACACACATATATATATATGAAATATACACGTGCCTTGTAATTCGTTCTTTGGTTTAATAATTTCAGAATAATGCTGATAGCCAGTATTTTCCTCTCCTCTCCTGTCCCCATTTGAAAGGCTTACACTGGCTGTCATGGGAGGATCCCTGGCCTTTTGCATTCTTTATAATGTATTCCTGACATTTTACTTTGTATTTTCTCATTGAGGATTGGATTGTCAGAATAGTGTGCTGGCTGATAAAAAGAATGACAAAATTTCTTTGGTTTTTTTTTTTTTGGGTTTTTTTTTTTTTTTTTTTTGCATTTTGGGTCACACCCGGCGATGCACAGAGGTTACTCCTGGTTCATGAACTCAGGTATTACTCCTGGAGGTGCTCAGGAAACCGTATGGGGTGCTGGGAATCAAACCCGGGTTGGCCGCGTGGAAGGCAAAAGCCCTACCCGCTGTGCTATCACTCCAGCCCCGTTTCTTTGTGTTTTAAACTAGCTTATTTGGGATGCTAGGATGGCACTTTGGCAGTCAGTGCCTGCCTTGCAGATGTAAGGTTGCAGATATGATTTCCATTGCCACTCACATGTACCAGGTGTGATCTAGTGACTGCTGCCTGGGAGCCCCAACATTGTGGCTGAGTCCGAGAGTCAGCTCCTGCACATGGCAAGGTTTTGGTGATCACCACCGTTGAGGTGACTGATTCCCAGCAAGCAGCCTCAGCTCAAATCCACAAAGACTGGGGCCAGAAATGCCACCCAGTGACCATTACAACTAGAATATTTGGAAGTGATGCACTTCTGAAGTGCAAAGTGCAACCCCTGGTGAGCTCATGTGCAAACATTGCAGCTGGTGTATGTGCAGCCCTGATAGGCCGAGTGACTAGTTGTATAAACACCAACCCAGCCCCCATCATCACAGCAGCAGCATCAGGGAAGAGATGGGAAGAGATCAGTTTAAATCATTTCTTTTCTTTTTCTGATTACAAAATTGTTACATGTTTCTGTAAAAACTTTACAGTGAAGTATATACTAAAGAGTTAGTCTTGCCCATGCTTATTTGGGGAGGAGGGGGCCCTCTCCAACAGAGCTTGAGGGAGCCACTCTGTGGTGTTGGCCTGTCTGTGAGGGCCTGACAGGTCAGTACTCAGGCCCTTTTGGTGCAGTTGCTTCAGCCCAGTGGTGCTCAGGACTTTACAGTATTGGGTTCAAACTCGGGGCCTTGTACATGTGGACGTATTGTTTTCTCCCTTTATGCTCTTCCTGGTCCCTTCCCCCATTCATTTCTCTGACTTAACAACAGTTCGTTTGGGTGCCACACCTAGTGGCTCCAAGCTCAGGAACCAACTCCTGACAGTGCTCAGGGGACCATATGGGATGCCAAAGATCAAACCCAAGTCAGCCCCATGCATGCCAAACACCCTACCAACTGTATTATCACTCTGGCTCTTTATTTGACAACTGTTAAGCTGTATTTTTCCAGAACTTTAAAAAATAATTTCTTCATAATAAAGATTGTGCTCGATAATTATTTTTAGGAAAATGCAGATACTAAATGTTTAATATGGGAGAAATAGATACTTTTCTCTTAATAGAATTGTATATGTCCTTTCTGGTTTGTGGTATTTTTGTTTTCCGTAACATATTAATAAACTTTATGCATTTGATAATGTTCTCTTTATACCCCCACCCCCTTAATTTTTTGTTTTTGGAGGAACTTGACCATATCCTATGGTGCAGTGGGGGCTTTCCTGGCTATATGAGCAGGATGACCCCTTGTAGTTCTCAGGTGACCGTATGAGGTGCCAGGAATTTGAGCCAAGGTCGCAGCCACGTGGAACGCAAGTTCCTCACCTTCTATACTATCTCTCTGGCCCAGATGTTGATCCTGTTATTTAAATTTTTTGTGTGTGGTGTTGAGGTCAAATGCTGGCACCACTGAGCCACATCCCCTGATCCTTTTGCTCATTTATTCATTTATGCAATTTTTATTTTATGATTTTGGGGCCACACCTAGTGGTGCTCAGGGTTTACTCCTAGCTCAGAAATTATTCCTGGTGGTTTTTGGGGGAGACCTTGTGGGATTTTGGGTCAACTGTAAGCAAGGCAAGCCCCCTACCCACTTTAGTATCTCTCCAGTCCCCTGTATCTTCTTAACGTGTCTGTTGCAGGCAAACATTTAGGTTGCTTCCAGTTTTTTCTCCCCAAATCTTTATTTTTTAGATCTGGCCACTAAAATATGAGTGCCGAGAGATAGGACATAGGGCAGGATTCTTGCCTTGGATGCTGCTGACCCTGCTTTGAGTCCCAGCACCCTATAGGGTTCCTCAAGCCCCTCCAGGAGCAGTATCCAAGCACAGAGCCAGGAGTAGCCCCTGAGCACCTCTGGCCAAAAAAAGTAAAATTTGAAGTGAGATTTAACTTGTAGACTACCAAATAGCTTGTTCTATCATATATGTATGTTTACCTCCCCCTGAGTTTCTGTGTTGGTTTGAAGTAATTTCTCCCAGAACATTATTCAATATATGTACCAAATGACTTACTTCCTATACATAAGTGTTAACATATATAAAGTATATATAAACCGTATAACTAGACTTAGTTAACAATATTTCTTTCTTCTTTTAAGATACTCCATGCAGGAAATGTATGATGTAGTATCAGGAATGGAAGATTACAAGCACTTCGTACCTTGGTGTAAAAAATCAGATATAATATCAAAGAGACCTGGATACTGCAAAACACGATTAGAAATTGGATTTCCACCTGTATTGGAGCGCTATACATCTGTAGTGACCTTGGTGAAACCTCATTTGGTAAAGGTAATTTGTTTTTTATTGTTCTTAATAAAATTGTTCCCAATACTAATTATATTAAACAGGTTAAGGTATAATAGCTCTAAAAAATTTCCCTAAGATAGTTGCATTATAACTCAGTGCTAGAGCACAGCTTTCCATGGCTGAGGCTTCAGGTTGAATCCTCAACACCACTTAAAAGTGAATAAGGTGGCCAGAGATGCTCAGTGGGCTGGAGCACATGATTTGCATGCAGGAGCTCTGAATGTGCTCACTGGCATCATTGGGTCACCTGACTATCCTGACTATCTCGTGGTAACTCCCAAGCGCTGATAAGTATGCAGATTTCCCTAAACTTAAGAAGGAGGAAAGAAAGAGGTTGGAGCAATAGTACAGTGGGTAGAATGCTTGCTTGGCACACTGCAGTCCTGGGTCCAATCCCTGGCACCCCATATGGTCCCCTGAGCCCTGTCAGGAGTGATCTCTGAGCTTGGAGCCAGGAGTAAACCCCTGAGCACTGCATGGTGTGCCCTCCCACCAACTCCCCCCAAAAAGGAAAGATAATAAACTATTTAGGGGTCAGAGAGGTGTACAATTGGTAAGGCTCTTGCCTTGCACTTGGCTGACCCAGGTTTGATCCCTATCACCCAATATGGTTCCCCCAAGCGCTACCTGGAGTGATCCCTGAGTGCAGAGCCAGTGCTCAACCATGAGCACTGCTGGGTGTGGCCCCAAAAGCAAAACACAAAAGAAATCATTTAATCTTTGTACTTTTTTTTTGTACTTTTTTAAAAAAATTAACAAAATACTGGAGCAAAATAGTTTTTATACACACATTATATATCTATATATATGTTTATATATTTTTAAGCGAGAACAGGGAAAATGTGAGAGAAGATGAGAAAAATATGTAAATGTGAAAAACATAATGTAAACTTGTGCAAGGACTAGGAATTGCAAGGCCAGGTACTGTTGCATGAGATGTTTACCATCTCACCCTTGTCTCTTTTTTACACAGAGAAAAAAGTACACAAAGGCAGCATTCCATAACTTAATACCCATTTCTTTTGAATTCTTACATGTGGTACTTTTTAAAAAATTAGTAAATAAGGGCCACAGAGAAAGTGCACCAGGGGTTAAGGTAGTTTTCTTGCATGCAACACCCCCAGTTCAGTCTTTGGTATCATGTGTATTCCCACACATCACCGTGAGAGGGGGCCCCTGAGCACAGAACCAGAAATTGACCCTGAGCATTCAGTGTGACCCCAGAAATAAAAAGTAGATGACCAGGGGCCATTGAGATAGTACCACAGGTATGGTGCTTGCCTTACAGTAAGCTCCCCCAGGTTAAAATCCCCAGCACTCTCTATGGTTCACTGAGCCCTGCCGGGAATGATCCTGAAAGCAGAGCAAGGGTAAGCTCTGAGTATCACCCAGTGTGTCCTCAAACCCAAAAAATAACAATTACTTTTTAGAGAAGTTATTCTTAGACTATACTAAATGCTATTTAGCCATAGTTTTTTTTTTTTAATCATGATTTTTATTTTTCTCATTTTGTTTTAGGCATCTTGTACTGATGGGAGACTTTTCAATCACTTGGAGACAGTTTGGCGTTTCAGTCCAGGTCTTCCCAGTTACCCAAGAACTTGTACCTTGGATTTTTCAGTAAGTCCCTAATAAAACTTGATTTGGTGGGACAGGAGACAACTCAAAGTACTAGAGTACATGCTTTCATGTTTAAGCCCCTGGTTCAGTCCACACCACTGAATAATGCCTCTACACATGGAATAACATTAGACAAACCTTGGTTTGTTGATACAAACATTATCTGTAGTTGGAGCTGAAACAATAGTACAGCATTTGATTTGTATGTGGCCGACCCAGGTTTGATCCTCAGCAACCTAGCTGTTAGGTCCCCAAGCCCTCCAGGAGTCATTCCTGAGTGCAGAACCAGCAGTAAGACCCTCCCCCCACCAATTTACTCCATCCTTTAATTTTTTTTTATTTTAAGAGTAGCACTTTGATTTTGTGCTAGTGCTACTCTTAAAATAAAAAAAAAAAAATTAAAAATAAAATCCAGATCCCGGACGAGAACAGTGCAGTCTTCTGCCCCCGCGCCTGGGTGTTCCTCGCCGGGACCCCTTGGAGGGGAGCGGGTTGAGCTTTCCTCCCCGCCCCGACCGGGGCTCCGGCAGCCGAAGACCTCCAGGACCAGCCACCACCATGCTGAGACCACTCTTCGCACACATGAAGGTACTGGCAGAGGGACAAAGCCACGCGAGTCCCGGAACCGCGCGGCTGCATTTGCGGCCGCGCGACATCTTATCAGAACTTTTTTTATGACATCTTATTATCTCATTCCTACTTTGGACAAATTTGCAGGCTATCGAATGTAGCCTGCCCACAGGGCAGAGTCTGGCAAACTCCCCATGGCGTACCAAATATGCCAAATACCAGTAACAATGATGGGCCTCATTCTCCTAAAGAGCCGTGAATATAATCTCAGGGCTAGGATGAAAGAGACGTTACTGGGGCCTGCTCGAGGCAATCGACGAATAACAGGATGATGAAATGAAATGAAGAGTAGCACTTTGATTTTAATAAGACATTAAAATGGAAATGTGGATGATATGTTAAAAAAAAACTATTCTATTTAGGGTCTATCTCATAGTTATTCAATAAAAAAAAAATTTTTTTTTAAAAGAAAAGTTGTTAAGACTACCTAAAAGCAGAAAAGTTTTAAGTGGATAGCTGTCATCAGAGTCAAAATGAAGAAAATTTTGGCTGCATAAAATCTACAAGTCTTTTGTTAGTATTATTGTATTTGATTATCTAAAAAAATTATTATTATTGTAACCTTATGTATTTTTTAGTTTTGGGGCCTCACACCTGTCAGTGCTCAGGGCTTAACTCCCGGTCTGTGCTCTGTGCTCAAGGATCATCTTGGCAGGCTCAGGGAACCATATGGAATGCTGGTGATTGAACTAAGATTGGTTGTGTGCACGGCAAATGCCCTACCAGCTATACAATCTCTGGTCCAGAAATCTTTTTTTTTTTCTCGTTGTGGAGGATATAGCCACAGTGTTCAAGGATCCAAGGCCATATGTTACAGGGCTGAAGAGTCCATAAGGTGCTGGGGATTGAACCCTGGGCTTCCCATATATTAGGCATGTATTCTACCACTTGAACCCCAATTTTTGCAACTTTTTTGTAGGATAACATTGGTTTGTGCTTTCTCCTCTGCCACAAGGAGTGAGGTTCATTGGGTTACACCCACCACAGTGCTCCTGAAGCACTCCCATTCCTCTGTGTTTATCTTTAACCTCTCTTCTGTTCTCTGCTTCCGTATCTGTAAATCACCATTATCCCCAAATCAGACCCTGTAAATTGTAAGGTCAGATCATTCTAAGGACTCTGGATTTTGTATTTATTTGTAAGTGAAATATTGCTTTTCCCCTCTGGACCCGCTTCCGATCCAAGGATGAAGGCGAGAAGAAATAAAAAACAGGTCCCAAGCTTCCGGAAATTGATAAAGACAAGTAAAGTCAAACTTGAAAACAAGCTAAAAAACAAGCAGTTTAAACAACAAAGTACTCTCAAGAAGTACCGTAAAGAACAGAGGAAATTAAAGCAAGCTGTAAAAGATGCTGTATCTAAAAGACCCATTCCATTGGAGGACCCAAAGGAAAAACGACCAGGCAAAAGGATCCAGTGGGAAGAGGAGGAAGAAGAGGAAGCCCTTCCTTTAGACATGATGGATGAAGATGACTTACAGTTAATGAAGGATTTAGGACAAAGAGCATCATTTCTAACAAGAGATCTTTCTTCTAGTGAGCCTGTTCATGCCAAGAAACGAAAGCATGAGAGTGTTATAGATAAATATGAAAAAATACCAAGAACTCTTCAAACTGCACCAGAGAAGGAACTGATTCACTTACTTCCTATCAAAGACAAAAGTGGAATAATCCCACAGACTAGGGAGAAGCCAGTTATTGAAAATCAAGATGAAGAGGACAAAGAAGAGATGGAACTTGAAGAAGAGATCATTGAAGAACCCATTAGAGAACTGACACTAGAGGAGCACTTAATTGAAAGGAAGAAAAAACTACAGGAAAAGAAAATGCATATTGCAGCCTTAGCATCTGCAATATTATCAGATCCAGAAAATAATATTAAAAAATTGAAAGAAATACGTTCCATGCTCATGGAACAGGATCCTGATGTGGCTGTTACTATTCGAAAGCTGGCAGTAGTTTCTCTAATGGAGTTATTTAAAGACATTACTCCTTCATATAAAATACGACCCCTAACAGAAGCAGAAAAATCTATTAAGATCCGCAAAGAGACTCAAAGGCTAAGAGAATTTGAAGAAGGCTTAGTTAGCCAATACAAGTTTTATTTGGAGAACCTGGAACAAATGGTTAAAGACTGGAAGCAAAGAAAACTGAAGAAAAGTAATGTGGTTTCCTTAAAGGCATACAAAGGATTGGCAGAGGTGGCTGTGAAGAGTCTGTGTGAACTGTTGGTGGCGTTACCTCATTTCAACTTTCACAACAACATCATTGTATTGATTGTCCCTCACATGAATGATGTGTCAAAATCGATATCTGAAATGTGTTGTGAGGCAGTCAAGAAGCTCTTTAAACAAGATAAATTAGGCCAAGCTTCCCTCGGTGTAATCAAAGTGATATCTGGATTTGTGAAAGGCAGAAATTATGATGTTAGACCAGAGATGTTGAAAACATTCTTGTGTCTAAGAATCAAGGAAATCGAAGTGAAAAAAGATACCGAGGACATTAATAAACCAAAAAAATTCATGACTTTTAAGGAAAAGAGAAAAACTCTATCAAGAATGCAGAGAAAGTGGAAGAAAGCAGAAGAGAAACTGGAACGAGAACTTCGGGAGGCAGAAGCTTCAGAGAGTACGGAGAAAAAACTTAAACTGCACACAGAGACTTTGAACATTGTGTTTGTAACATACTTCAGAATACTGAAGAAGGCCCAGCGGTCACCTCTCCTGCCAGCAGTACTAGGTCTTGCCAAGTTTGCTCATCTTATCAATGTGGAGTTCTTTGATGATTTATTAATAGTTCTGCATTCTCTCATTGAGTCTGGTAACCTAAGCTATCAAGAAAGTTTTCACTGTGTCCAGACTGCTTTTCATATACTTTCTGGGCAAGGTGATGTTCTGAATATCGATCCAATGAAATTCTATACACATCTTTATAAAACACTGTTCAAGCTACACGCAGGTGCTACCAACGAAGGTGTTGAGATTGTGCTCCAGTGCCTTGATGTCATGCTAACCAAGCGCCGAAAGCAGGTTTCTTTGCAGCGAGCTCTTGCCTTCATCAAGCGCCTCTGTACTCTTGCTCTTCATGTTCTTCCAAACTCAAGCATTGGCATTTTAGCAACCAACAGGATATTGATGCATATCAGCTGTAGAACTTTTTGAGATTTACAGTATGGCAGCAATGACATTCAATCCTCCTGTTGAATCTTCAAACACCAAAAGGAAGGATAAAGCTTTACCAGGGGATTCATTACTGAATGAAGATTTAAATCAGCAAATCAAAAGACATTGCAATGAAGTTGATACTCATTTCCCTCTGGATTTTGCCAAATATTTGAAAACATCCCTACAGTAGTAGAAGAATGAAGAAGTGGACTTTCTTGTATATTTGTGTGTTTGTACAGAAGATATACTGTTCATGTGGGACTTTTTTTTTCCAAGAGAAAATCTTTAAGAAATAATGGAGGAGGAAGAATTACCCTTTGGGTATAGGAGGTTTCCATCCCAATTCAGAAAAATATTATTTTGTTTAGAAAGAAGAAACTTCTCCCTACCTCTGTTTATGCATTTCTTCTCTATTCTGATTTTTTTAAATTAAAAATTCAGTATACATATCAAGTGATAGCTTTTTCCAAAGGTTCTTTGGAACAGAACTTACTAAAATTATTAAAATGAAAGCACAGTGTAAAAAGAAAAAAAAATATTGCTTTTCTCTTTTGCTTATGTCCTCTGTATAACTTACTTTAGAGCAATGTCCTTTTTGTATAAACACAGGAAGAGAGCTAATGCTGTGCTTTTGTAACTTGGGAGTTAATTGACTCCAGATAATATTCACACCTGGGCATCTGTCATATTTACTCGACTTAAGTCTCAGTTGCTCTTACTTCCTATCACCCCCAAAGTAGCATCCTGACTAAAGGACTAGATGGACCCAAGGCAAGCTGTAAGCTATCCTGGCATCGAAACAGGATAGGCCATTTGCCATAATACTTAACTATAAGTTAAGAGCATGGTCATGGGCAAATTCTGTCATGATCCAAAGAGAAACAACTGAACAAGGACCCTGCTAAGTTTAGGAAAGACTAATCTGACCTGAGGGCTGTAGTCTGGGATCTATAGGAGATGTCCCCAGGAGAGCCACCCTATTAGCTTAATGTATCTCTTGCTGTGTCCATAGAAAATGACTAATATTATTAAAGAGTAGGATTATGGTGAATTGCTTAAATGACTATTGGACTAAGGAAAAGAGAGACACACTCTAGGTGGTATTTCACCCTTGAGCAGATCTGGCTGCAGGAGATCAGGAAGGGCTTTCATATGTTGATTGTGCTACTGCCAAGGTTTGGAGGGGCGAGAGACTAGAGAGACCAGGACTGTGAGTTGGAGCATGGAGAGACTAGCAAGAGGGACAGAGGAGAAGAATGTGGAGAAGTATGTAGGGGAGAATAACGTCGTAGAGGAGAAGAATTTAGGAGCAGGGTTCCGGGGGAGAGGAATCAAGGAGAACCAGGGGATCAGGGAGGATCAAGGGGAGTCTAGGAGAAGGAAAAGAGATTTGGGGAAGAAAGTCAGAGGAGAATGGAGACCAGATTGGAATAAACTGCAATTGATACCAACCAGCCTGGCCCTTGTTTCCTCCTTTATCCGCCCTTGGCATCGGCTGTCTTGGGTGGGGAAGTGGCCCGAAACCACTGAATGCAGGCGGCGAGAGAGAGGCAACAGAGAGCCGCGGGCTTCTTATTCATTTTATGAATACACAAATGGTTTTAACATTTTTGTTTTCAGGTAACACCTGGAGATGCTCAGGGATTACTCCTGGCTCTGTGTTTTGAGGTCCCTTTTGGGGACGATACGGAGTGCCAGGAATTCAACCTTGGTCAGCTATGTGCAAAACAAGTGCTCTACCAAGTGTACTGTCACTACATGCCCCTTTATCTTTAAAAACCATTTCAGATTAAAAAGTGTGTAACCGCAAAATAAACGTGTGTGGCGTGGACTCTCTCCCTGCCTTATGTATACGGTGGTCTTGAGCCACTTCCCCACTCCGGCCTGCAGCTGCCACCAACAGATGCAGGAAAGAGGGAACAGGGCAGCCAGGCTGATTGGTGATCAGTCGCAGTTTATTCCAATCTTGTCTCCCTCTGCCTCCTTCCAGTCTCACCCACTCCTATAATCCTCCTGTATTCCACCTCCCGAGCCCACTCTTACAGTCTTAGTTATTGCCCAAAATTATGAGGGGTTGGGGTAGCAATTACACATAGGTGTTGTAATATGAACAACATATGTAAAGTCCTTCCCTCAGGGGAAGCTTCTAGGACAAAATCTCATCCAGCATGGTGATCTGCTTAAGGGGGAAATACCATTTAGGGGTGTATATCTTCTATCCTTAGTCCAATAACCATTAAAACATTCATCTTAATTCTACTTATTAATAATAATAGTCATTTTGTATGGACACAGTAAGAGATACGTTAAGCTTGTAGGGTGGCTCTCCTGGAGACATCTCGCTATAGATCCTAGACTACAGTGATCAGGTCAAATTAGTCTTTCCTAACCCTAGCAGCATCCTAATCCAGTTGTTACTTTTTGGATCATGACAGAATTTGTCCATGACGATGCTCTTAACTTATAGTAAAGTATTATGGCGCTTTGGCCTGGCCCATTTCAATGCCAGGGTAGCTCATAGCTTGCCCTGGGTTCATCCAGTTCCTTGTTAGGATCCTGCTTTTGGGGTACTAGGAAGTAAGGGCAATTGAGGCTTAAGTCAAGAAAACAGATGCCCTGGAGTGAATATTATTTGGAGTCAATTAACTGCCAAGTTACAAAAGCATACTATTAACTGTCTTCCTGTGTCTATACAAAAAGGGCATTGCTCTAAAGTATGCAAAGGACATAAGGAGAAGAGAAAAGCAATATTTATAAATTAACAGAGTCTGATTAGGAGATAAAAGTGATTGACTAGTTGGGGAAGCAGAGCACAAGGAAGGAAGTTACAGATAAACACAGAGGAATGGGAGTGCCTCTGGAGCACTATGATGGGTAGCACTGTAGCACTGTCCTCCTGTTGTTCAGCAATTTGCTCGAGCGTCTCCATTGTGAGACTTCTTGTTACTGTTTTGGCATATCAAATACACCACAGGGAGCTTGCCAGACTTTGCTGTGCGGACGGGATACTTTCGGTAGCTTGCTGGTCTCTCCGAGACGGACGGAAAAATCGAACCCGGGTTGGCCATGTGCAAGGCAAACACCCTACTGGCTGTGCTATAGCTCCAGCCCACAGTGATGGGTGTTACCCAATAAACCTAAGCTCCCTGTGGCAAGCAAGACAAAGCAGGGTTATCCTACACATTTTTTAAAAGACTGGGGGAATTGTAGATGTAACTGAGTGGCAGAAAAAAATGCTATGTATGTTTAGACCCCGAGTTTGATCCTTGACACATCCCCCAGAAAGTTTATTAATATTTGATGCTTAAAATACTATTTTTCTTGGGGCTGGAGCCATAGCACAGCGGGTAGGGTGTTTGCCTTGCACAAGGCTGACCCGGGTTCAATTCCCAGCATCCCCTATGGTCCCTTGAGCATCGCCAGGGGTAATTCCTGGGTGCAGAGCCAGGAGTGACCCCTGTGCATCACTGGGTGTGACCCAAAAAACAAAAAAATAATAAAAAATCAGATCCTTCCTAATTGACCATGTTGGTGGTGCCCTGCTCATAAAAAAAAAAATCTTTAAAAAACAAAAAATACTATTTTTCTTAGGGGGAGGTCTTGGCTTGGGGGCCTTACTTAATGGTGCTCAGGGTTTACTCCTGGCTTTCTGCTCAAAGATCACTCCTGGCTGTGCTGAGGGATCATATGTGATTCCAGGGATCAAACCAGGGTCAGCTATATGAAGCTATATGCCCCTTGATCCCTGTACTGTTCTCAAATCATTCTTGAATTATATCTTGAAAAGACAAAGGGTACTTTTGAGTTATAAACGATTGTTTAAAATACATGTATGTGTGCAAGGACATGTAATCTCTTTCTACTGTTATGTCTCATGGTGCTACTTCTGTCATCGGGATCATTTTCTCATTTAGTTTCAAAAGTATAATCTACTAAATAGCAGTACTCCTACATTAAAAAAAAAAGTATAATAGATCTAAAATGAGTACATTAAAAGGCTGCTAGGGGCTGAAGTAGTAGTTCAGAGGGTAAGGTACTTTCCTTGTACAGAGTTTACTAGGATTTGATCCTAGGTATCTCATATGGTCCTCCAAGCCCTACCAAGAGTGATCCCTGAGCACATAGCCAGAAGTAAGCCCTGAGCACTGCCTTGTATGGCCCCAAAACCAAAAAAATTAAGAACCGATGATAAACATTCTGCAAAGCTTTTCTTCCAGTTGTCTTTTCTTCTTTTTCTTTGCTTCCAGTTTCTTAATAAAAAGACTCATAGCTTAAAATGAGAGTCATTGACCTTGTTTACTGAAATTTATTATGTTCAAAGTGCTTATTGCATGAAATAAGACTCCCTCTTCTGAGAGGTGCCAAAAATCTCATGTATGTATACCAGTACAGCACTATGAGCCAATAAACTCATTTCATAATGTGGAGATTTAATAAAACTAAGTTTCCTAAAATAATTTTTAACATTTTCCTACAGATTTCTTTCGAATTCCGCTCCCTTCTACACTCTCAGCTTTCAACATTATTTTTTGATGAAGTTGTAAAGCAAATGGTGACTGCCTTTGAAAGAAGAGCTTGTAAGCTGTACGGTCCAGAAACAAATATACCTCGGGAATTAATGCTCCACAAAGTTCATCACACATAAAGGGAAAAAGGAACTGGTCAACTGCTTGAAACCTTGTCTGTTTACTTTTAGGAAATGTTTTTATTATTTGCTTTAGAAGTCAGAAAAGCATTGAAGTCCAACTCTTATTTATTAGCCATTGATAATTTGCACTTGAAATAATGAAACCTTATATACATAAAACTCAGTTAAGTGTAATTCAGAGTAATACATTAGCAGTGATACATCTACAGTGACAGTGTCATTAGTATTGCTCAAAACTACCATCACTCTTCTGAGTAGAGTTGAAACTTTAAATTTACACTTTTTAATAATCACTTTCTCTGAAATAGGTCAGTTAAAATACAGTATGTATATTAACCACATCATGTTTAAGTTATTAAATTCACACTTTTTAACTTATTGTTTTAGTACCTTCCTCATGGCTTAGGGTATTTGATTAGCCATCAGATATTTAAAATAAGAATTTTGACTTTAAAATATTGTTGGCGGGGCTGGAGCAATAGCATAGCAGATAGGACGTTTGCCTTGCACGTGGCCAACCCGGGTTTGATTCCGAGCATCCCATATGGTCCCCTGAGCACCGCCAGGATTAATTCCTGAGTGCAGAGCCAGGAGTAACCCCTGTGCATCGCCAGGTGTAACCCAAAAAGCAATAAATAAATATTGTTGGTACATTCTTTACCTTGAAGATTTGCCCCACATCTCATCTGCCTGAGATGTTTGCTTTCATCCTTTTTCCCTCATGTTCTTTAATATGTCTCTCTCTCTCCCTCTCCCCCCACCATAAATTTAATTTCTTGAAATAACTATTTTGCTTCCCCCAAAATAAAATCTTGAGCAGGGGTGTAGATCAGCAGTAGAGCTCTTTCCTTACATGGGTGAAGCCTTGGATTTAGTCCCTGGCACCACAAAATCTAGGTTAATATTAAAAAGTGTTATTATTAGTAACATTAATGGAATGATTAAAATTAACATACATGTTAATTTTATATGTAACAAGCGTATGTTAATTTTTAAAAATTAAAAACTGATGCTAAAGATTCTGCAGAGCTTTTCGTCCAGTTGTCTTTTCTTCTTTTTCTTTGCTTCCAGTTTAATAAAGACTTTTTATAAAAAATTTTAAATTAATATACGTTTAGGTTAATAAAGTTTCCCTGAAATTTACTTATTTTTAAGTTGTTCTTAATAGTAGTAATTTAATACAACAGTGAGGTTAGTTCCCAGATAAATAGTGAGTTGGTTTTCTTTTTTGGTGACTGGTCCAGAACTTGAAGCTACTTTTCTAGTGATTAGCAACCTTTTCTAGGTACTTTGACTGCTCTTTCAGTAATTTTGATGACATGTTAATTTTGTCTACAATAGTGGGCAGCAGATGAAGATGCTGATAAGACCTCCAGCATCTTTCATCCCTGTTTTCTATTTATTATATATACTTTAAATATAGTAACAACAACAGGTCTCATTCCCCTGACCCTGAAAGAGCCTCCAGTACAGCACCATTGGGAAGGACGAGTAAGGAGAAGTTGCTAAAATCTCAGGGCTGGCTGGAACTAATGGAGATGTTACTGGCGCTTGCTCAAGCAAATCAATGAACAACGGGATGACAGTGACACAGTGATACTTTCAATAATGTATTTCAAACTGATATTTTTGTAAACAAATCAATGTAAAGATTGAAGTGGTAACTTAATAAAGTTAATTTATTTTTGTACAGTTGTTTTGATTACTGAAATCTGTTTTGTTTCATTGTTTAATTAGCATAGTAAGTTTTAATTATGACATTTGTGTCTTAAATATATATAAACCTGGGGGCCTGGAGAGATAATACAGTAGGTAGGGCAATTGACTTGTACGCAGCCAGCCTGGGTTCGACTCCTGGTATTCCAAATGGTCTCCTGAGCACCACCAGGAGTGCAGAGTCAGGAGTAACCCCTGAGCATTGCTGGGTATGACCCCAAAACAAAACAACTCGTGGGCCATAGATGATACAAGAGGCAAGGTACTTGCTTTACATACAGCCAACTTCTGTTGGAATCTCAGCACTACATGCTGAGCACCGCCAGGGGTCACTCTAGAGTACAGAGCCAGGAATAGCCCTGAACACAGCTGTGTGTAACTTTAAACTCCTAGCTTTGCTCCACCCCGCAAATTTCACAAAACAGCCAAAGATGTAGTTCAGTGTTAGAGCACTCATTTTGCAAGTGAGAGATCCTGGTTTTTATTTCTGGCACCATATGGTTCTCTGATCACAGCCTATAGCGATCCCCAAGCTCCGAGCCAGGAGTAACTTTTATCACTCCTGGTTGTAGCCCAAAACCAAAAATGTTAAATAGAAAACTGAGGGCCAAGCCATAGTACAGCAGGCAGGCCACTTGCCTTCCACACAACCAATCTGGGTTCAATCCCTGACATCCCACATGGCTCTCCAAGTCCGCTGTAATTCCTGAGTGCAAAGCCAGGAGTAAGCCCTGAGCACTGCCTGGTGTGGCCCCCAAACCAAAACTAGGAAAGTTTTAATCTTTAATCAATATTGATCTTCCTTCTTATTCTATACCCAACAACCTTCTTATGTCATACTTTCATTTTCTCAGGTCTATAAGATACCACAGTCATGCTCCCAATTTTTTTGTATGCATCACCATTCAATAAGTTTGAGTTTGTGCTTTCCTCAAAAACTCAGTAATATCATAAAAGAACTCACACAGTCTACTTGGTTGTGAACTTTTCACTGACCCCCAAACCAAATGAGGTATGTACAGAGCCTGAGTTGTTTGTGTACCGTTGTTTGTATATACCTTTTTTTGATTCACATCCAGCAGTACTCAGGAACCTCGGTGTTCTCAAGTCTCCCATGGCACTCAGTGTAGTGCCAGAATTGAATCCCGTCTCTCATGCAAAGCGTGTGCTCTAACCCTGGCCCTGCTGCTTTTTTTCATTCTGCTTTTTTTGTAGGTGTTTTCTAATAGCAAATATTAAAAGCTTTGTTTTCTTTTTTCCTTAGACTGTTCTACTTTCCTTTTAATAGAATTAAGAATCTGCACTTTACCATTGTTATTACAGATGTCACAGTAGACTTTTGGGTTCAGAGTTGAAATTAGTGGTTGGGATGTAATGCAGTTGGTGTGGTAGTGAGTCTTCAGTGAAGAAATACAGAACTATATCACCCTTTCTTGAAAGTATCTGCTCAGTAGAATCAGGGGAAGATGAATGAGCTGCTTATGGTAAATAAGAGTTTCCTCTCTGGAAAGAAAGTTCAGAGAGAAACTGCTCTCCCTTGGTTTTTGCTAAATTGCACGCGGTCCTGAAGTTTGCAGCTACTTTTGCCTTCTTTATACCAAGAGGGAAGAAATAAGATGAATTAAAAGAAACCACCTCGGAACTCTGATGTCAAGGGTTCATTGATCATACCTTTTAGGTGTAAAATTTGCACTTCTGGTGACATTACACACATCTGGTGTTTAAGTCACTTAAAATCAGGCATCCCCTTATCTTGCTCCATACTGAACTAAACTCTCCTTAATTGTCGTGCAACTTTAATCCCCTAATTCTAGGGCTCCCATGCAATCATTCTAAGATGTCCCTTTCCTTCTTCCAGTTTCCTGATTCTTACCTTAAAAAAAAAATTGCTCTCACTTCAGAGAAAAACCTCCAATGCCTTCCTGATTTAAAAAAAATGGGAAAAACAAAAGAATCCCTGAATGACTATTTCATTATTTGATACTTATACTTCATGGAATATGTTGGCCGCGTGCAAGGCAAACGCCCTACCCGCTGTGCTATCGGGCTGGAGTGATAGCACAGCGGTAGAGCGTTCACCTTACAAGTGGCCACATGGCCGACCCGAGTTCGATTCCTCCGCCCCTCTCGGAGAGCCCAGCAAGCTACCGAGAGTATTCGATATGCCAGACACAGTAACAACAAAGTCTCCAATGTTACTGGGCCCGCTTGAGCAAATCGACGATCAACGGGAGGGCTTTTACCTTTACCTTTTACTTTATGGAATATAAAACTTCTTTAGGGTCAGGAATAGAGCTTAAGAGATGAGAGGGCATGTGCAGGAGTGAGGAGCTTAATCCCTGGCACCACATGGTCCCCCAAGCACCATCAAGTGAATCCCAAATGTCAGGGAAAAAGGAAAAAGTAATTTCTGGCAACAACAAGACACAATCAGAGCTGTGATCTAAGGGTGCTAGAAAGGGGAAGGAAGTAGCTAAAGTACTTTGGGATAATTGGTGTAGGGATATTAATGTTGAGGCTGATGGTGGGCAAAGTATAGCAGCACTGCAAGTATAAAAGAATATTGTTTGTACTTTGGGGCTGGAGAGATAAGAATATGGGTTAAGGTGCTTGGTTTGCATACAGCCAACCTGGGTTCAATCCCTGAGCACCACTGTGTGTGGTCCCAAAATCATTAAATAATTTACAGGGGCCAGAGAGATTGTACGGTAGATAAGGCTCTTGTTTTGTATGTAGCCAGTTGTGGTTCAATCCCCATATGGTCTGAACAGAGCCAGAAGTAAGTCCTGAGCACCACAGGGTGTGACCCCCAAACCAAATCATTTCCAGGTTGGAGAGAACGCAAAAGGCTTTGCATGCAGGTCAAGGTTTGATCCCCAGACACCATAAACTCCAGAAACCACCCTAAGCTCCAACCTGGGAGTAGCCCTTCAGCACCATGGGGTGGTCAAATATGCCTCCCCCAAATAAAAAGAACTTCACTTCAGAATTGGATCATCTGACTTCACTGTATTGAACCCGGGCACCCACACAAAAAGCGTGTGTTCCAGCCCATTGAGTATTTCCCTGACCCATCCAGAACCTTTTGAAGTCAATTTTTCATCCTGACTAGTCTGAAAGTACATGACCCTGATACCCTCTTAAAATTTTTATTAAATTGTTTCTGGTCCACACCTGGTGGTATTTAGTAGTTAATCCTGGTTCTGTAAAGCCAGAATGCAGCCTGAGCAGAGTCAGGACTCCCCACCTCCTCCAAATTCACATTCCACTTTTATAACAAAACCAATTCAAATGTGTGAAATTTTACCTGAACATTTAGATATCTCAAAGATGTGGGTAGATCGTTTGCCATGCATACAGCCTACTGGGCTTCGATCCTCAGCATCTCATATGGTCCCTCAACAGAGACAATACAATAATGCCAGGACAAACTTGGGGCTCCTGTATACAAAGCATGTATGTGCTCTAGCCCTTTGAGTCATCTTCCTATACTTTTTCATTTGGGGATCTTACCCAGTGGTGCTCAGTCCCATCAAACCAGGGTTGACCACATACAATGTAAGAACTTTAACCCCTATACTCTCTCTCTGAACTCCTTTGAGTTATGAACACTTTTGTTCATTCATTTTGGGGGCTACACCAGTTTGTCCTTAGGGGGCTGACTCCTGTCGAGCTCATGTGACCGTATCAGGGTGCTGGATATTGAACCTTACTCGTACTATCTCTCCAGCTCCTAATATCTTAAAAACCTTGCATGCATGGAGCCAGAGCGATAGTCCAGCAGGGAGGGCATTTGCCTTGCCGCAGCCGACCTGCATCCGATATGGTCTCCCAAGCACCGTCAGGAGTTATTTTTTCTTTCTTTTGCTTTTTGGGTCACACCCAGTGATGCACAGGAATTACTCCTGGCGGTGCTCAGGGTACCATCTGGGATGCTGGGAATCGAACCTAGGTCGGCTGCATGCAAGGCAAACGCCCTACCTACTGTGCTATTGCCCAGCCCCAGGAGTAATTCTTAGTGCAGAGCCAGGAGTAACTCCTGAGCAACACCGGGTATTATGACCCAAAAAGCAAAAAAAAAAGGCAGGCAGCTTACCCCACCCAAGTTGAATTTCTGTCATTCTGTATGCTCAATCAGGAGTAAGCCATGAGCATTGTGTATGCCCCCACCATAAGAAACACTGAGGGTATGGTGCTTCCAGCCTGCGCCTGTGCTGTGCCTTTGGCTGGACCCCAACAACTTGGGACTAAGTTTACCAAGAAATTAAATGGCCAAAGTTATGTATATGGGAGCCACCCCCACAAACCATCCCCGGCTTAACTATACAAGCTTATTTATTGGCCTTATTTCAGAAACCCACAAATAATCACGAGTTTAGCCACAATCTCGGATCCGCACAGGGTTGAACAGACCTGGGCAAATTGGAGGGGAGCAGGTTGGTCTGGTGCCCACCCAAGCAGAGCCCCCAGAAGCTGCTTGCTTCCACAATCCAAAATCACCGCCATACCTCTGGCTGACTTCTGTCCATCTCAGGACCTCACCATTGCACTGTGGCACTGTCCTCCAGTTGTTCATCGGTTTGCTCGAGCGGGCACCAGTAACGTCTCCATTGCGAGACTTGTTATTTGGCATATTGGATACATCACAGGGAGCTTAACAGGCTTAGCTGTGCGGGCAAGATACTCTCAGTAGCTTGCAGGGCTCTGAGAGGGGTAGAAGAATAGAACACGAGTCGGCTGGGTCAGCCGCGTGAGAGGCAAACGTCCTACCTGCTTTGCCATCCATCCAGCCCGACCTCACCGTATCTGTTGAAAACTCTGGTGTGTGGGTTTTGTGACTGAAATCTCCAGGCATTCTGAGAGTGGAGATGGGTTATCCCCCCACCTCCCTGTACTTCCATAAGCCTCGACAGTCATGTCCACACCCCAAAGCTGCCACCCAATTGAAAAATCACTCTTACCTTCCTGATAAATATACCAAATGCTCTGAATAAACATCATGACCTCTTGGCACATGTATTGCAAACTATAAAGCACAAAAGGAAAAAAAGAGCCCGAAGCTAAGAGGCAGGGAGAGGGAAGTGGGGAGTTGGGGAATGGTGGTAGGTAAAGGGGAGGACATTGGTGGTGGGAAATATACACTGGGGAAGGGATGGGTGCTGGATCATTGTATGATAAACCCAATTATGAATAGCTTTGTAATGATTTATCTCACGGATATCCAATTAAAATGTTTTAAATAAAAATGTATTTTCTATTCATAATTTATAAATGTATTTTAAATTAAAATGTAATCATGCCCAATTCAATCAGCTTAATCAATGACTGAATAGCAGTACTCCTACATTTAAAAAATAAATTTTTTCCCCCAAAATTACTTGTGGGCTGGAGCGATAGCACAGCGGCAGGGCATTTGCCTTGCACGCAGCCAACATGGCCGACCTGAGTTCGATTCCTCCACCCCTCTTGGAGAGCCCGGCAAGTTACCGAGAGTATCTCGCCCCACGGCAGAGCCTGGCAAGCTCCCCATGATGTATTCGATATGCCAAACACAGTAACAACAAAGTCTCCAATGGAGCTACTGGGCCCGCTCGAACAAATCGATGAACAACGGGAGGTCAGTGACAGTGACAAAATTACTTGTACCACCCTTCATTTGCTCAGCATCCTCCTCAAAATCTACCTTGAGAGTAAACAGAAATCAATTACATTCCAGGAAGGTCCTCTCCCCACGTTATTTCGGCACTCTTCAAGACTTTGGGAAACACTACAGACCTCAGACTAACTCAATTGTTCGCTGAGCCCATAACTCAATTCTGACACGCTATTGAGATGGAATCAAACAGCACAGCTTAATGATCTCAATCCACAAGTTCCCTCACCCCACATCTACTTCAAATGCCAGTCACTATCCTCAGACGGACTGGTTACAGATTAGATTCACTACCCACACTTTACAACTCAAATTTCATTTGGGAAAATAGTCAACCTATACTTTACCATTACACTTCAAGTTTTCACAATGCCCTTGAGTTCTAGTAATCTTCTGGAAAGAGGAGCAACAACAGCCAGATGAAAGATATACACAGGGCAGAGTGAGTTAAGGGGAAATTAAAAAATTTCCCACTATCCTAAGATAGTGATTGGGGGAAACAGGATCTCTGCTCCTGAGTCTCGTTGAGCCCAGAGTCCAAGGTCACAAAGTTCCGCATCACCTGGGTTCCATGGGACTTCACTTATGAGTGAGGCTTGGCCCGAGCATGTGGAAAGCAGCCTGGAGTGTAGTGGCTGTTGGGTAGTAGAGGTTAGCTGCAGGGGCTGGGAGGGTTTTGACTTGCCCCACTCTGAGGCGCCCTGAGTGTAAACAGCCTGGCGTGGAGTCGGGTGGCACGGTTATGGGAGCCTCACTTTATGCTCCTGTCCGGCAGGTGAGTTCTGGAGGGTGGCAGATGAGACTATCTGGCGCCCGCAGAGGGTGGTTTATGTGTGAGAGCCCTTCCTGCCTCAAGGGACCCAGCCCCAGGCCGCTTTCCACATGCTCTGGTAAAGCCTCGGATGAGTGAACATATTTGTCATGAACATAACATGACACATCACAAGACACTCCCTATTCTTTTATTATTTTTTAAATTCTTTTAATGTAGGAGTACTTGCTATTTATTCAGCCACTGATTAGCTGATTGATCTGGGCACCAACTCCACTACACTTCCTATTTATTTTCCATAATTAACACACCATATTTGATGGGGTTCAGACAGTAAGCAACAAATCAGAGAGAAATACACCTCTGAGAGCCCGGCAAGCTACCCATGGCGTATTTTATATGCCAAAAACAGTAACAGTAACGGGTCTCATTTCCCTGACCCTGAAAGAGGCTCCAATCGGCAGCATTAGTAAAGAGTAAGGAAAGGCTGCTAAAATCTCAGGGCGGGACGAACGGAGACGTTTCTGATGCCCACTCGAGTAAGTCGAACAATGGGATGACAGTGATACAGTGATCCTCCTAAGACAGTACACCAAGTCTGGGTCCAATCAATCCGCAGCATCCTGTATGGTCCCCCACACAGGACTAACCTGAGTGTGGCTCAAAAAACAGAAACTTTATCAATATAATCCTCCAGCAAAAAGATTAGCTAAGTGGAATGAATGTTTTACATACTCGAAAAACCACTCTACCCCCTTAGTTTGAGTCATACCCAGCAGTGCTAAGGGACCATGTGGTACTGGTGTCAGGGATGAACTGGACTTCCTATACACTATGTGAAATTGTCAGCTAGGCATTACCGATTTTAATTTCTCATACCACCTAATTGACTTTAATTTCTCAGACTTTTTAGATTATGGAAAGGCTGCACAACTACAATTAACTTTAAACAATTTTTATTACACAAAGGTTGTCACATAATTGGATAGTTTTCTACTTTGTACACAATTATTCTTACTCTCCACGGAAAGGCTGCTTCTTAACTTCTCCTCTGGTGATGGCAAGCACTAAAATCCTGAGTTTAACAGAATAGTAGTAAAAATGCCTCGTGATTTAAGTTGAAAGCAGTACATTGGTACATGGCTCTTGCACTCAGTCATCAGGAATGTACAAATGTCTTTTTATTCAAAAATACAAAATAAATTATCTGTAGGCATGGACAATGACAGCAGTAAACCATTATATGTTGTCAACTGAAACCAGTAACTGATGATTATAGCGATTTTCTTAAAACATCAGCCAGCCTTTTCTTCAGTTTTTTTTTCCTTCAACTGACTTCTCTGAAGTTATAGATGAGGAGCACCTGCCTTGAGCTTCCTCTCACAGTTCATTAATAATGGTAAAGCACTATTCTATGAATTAGAACATGCCACCTCCCATACCTCCTCCCATCCCACCCATTCCAGCCATTCCAGGGTCCTTTTCTTCTTTAGGAATTTCAGTAACTACAACTTCTGCTGTAGTTAACAGAGAGGCTACTCCGGCAGCATCCAGTAAAGCAGTTCTTACAACCTAGAAAAAAGTTTCAGAGTATTACTTTTTCCTTGTCAAAAACTAAACAAGACTTAAAATAAGCTCTTCAAAGCACTTTTAGAAAGTGGCATTTACTATTTACCTTTGTTGGATCAATGATTCCTTTTTCCACCATATTCACAAAATCTCCAACCATAGCATCATAACCAACTTCTGAGGAACTCTGTAAAATCTTCTCAACAATCAATGATCCTTCAACACCTGCATTCTTAGCAATGGTCATTGCAGGAATCTTGAGTGTTCTTTTAATAATATCTATGCCTATAAAGACATTTTAGGTTTAGTTTTCTTCTGTACTATTATAGCACAATCTTTACGATAAAATTCTGAAATACACAGACCAGATCGTTCACCTGAAAACCAGCACCTCCCTCATATGCTGAGAATAGATGTGACTCCTGAGCAGAGCTGCTGTGCCCCCTTCCCAAAAAAGGACAGGGGATATAGCTCATTTGTAAAGTACATACACACGTATGCCTGAGACCTGAGTTCCAAAGCAACACAGAAAATTTAAAAATGTGAAGGGCACACTGAAGGAATATATGTGCTCTGCTATTTAAGAAAACATTCTCAGTACTGTAATCATTCACTTTGAAAAAGTTCATTCATTACCGTTATATTCTGAAAATTGTTTTTGTTAGCTGAACAGTATTATTTTACCAGAAAGACCAATTATCAGGCTGCAAAAAAACCAAGTTTTTTTTGATTTTTGGGTAACACCCGGCAATGCACAAGGGTTACACCTGGCTCTACACTCAGGAATCACTTCTGGCGGTGCCTAGGGGACCATATGGGATGCTGGGAATTGAACCGGGGTCAGCTGTGTGCAAGGCAAATGCCCTACCTGCTGTGCTATCACTCCAGCCCCAAAAAACCAAGTTTTAATGTAACTCCGTACCAATTTTCTGATCTTCATTAGCGGGCGTTAATGAGTCCAAGGCTGGAATGCACCGAAGCAGAGCACAACCCCCTCCCAGAACAATGCCTTCTTCAACAGCAGCTCGTGTAGCATTGAGGGCATCTGTAACTCTGTCTTTCTTTTCGTTCACTTCAACATCACTTGTGCCACCAACCTAAAGGTGGAAAAAAAAAATTCAGTAACTATGTCTTTTCCCATCCAAGATTTCTGGATCGGAGCCATTATGAAGTACACTGTTTACTAGAAAAGGTACAAAGACCACCTACTTGCTATAAACAATTAGGTACCTTAAAGTCAATTGTCAGTCTCCAAACTGATAATTAGCAAAACACCTCTTAACACAGAAACTGACCAATTTGCAGAGTTCAATTCAGAAATCAATACTTCAATAACTTTATCAACAATTATCTCCAAGGGAAATTAAACTCCAAACATTTTTATTACACAGCACTCTCAGTGAATACCACAGAACTAAAATCACTTGTGGGCTTAGAACTAAAAAGCTGATTTAAGGTAGTAAATCTTACTTTTAGCACAGCCACACCATCTGAAAGTTTTGCCAAGCGTTCATTCAGTTTTTCCTTTTCATATTCACTGGTTGTGATATCCAACTGTTCAATGATTTCTTGAATACGTTTTTCAATTTGAGCCTTGTCACCTTTTCCTTTCAATAGCATGGCATCATCTTTGGTTACAATGACCTCTCCAACTTTTCCTAAGTCATGTGGCTGAACGTCCTCAAGATTCAGAGTTAATCCTTCTTCTCCAAATACCTATTAAATACATTTTAAAAAATTATAGATTAGTTCTATCATAAGTTTAGTATAACAATACATTCTGCAGGTCATCTTGAAACATTAAGTATGTATTTCTCATACCTTGATACTATTTTTGTCATTTCTATTTTGTATCTAAGAAATAAAATTTAACACTTCCAAAACCATTGCTAACCAGAATTAGGAAGAGTCTTTTGAATAGTCTTTTGTTGTTTGGGGGTCACAAGTGGCAGTGCTAAGAGTTCACTTGTGGCAGGCTCTCAGGAGGCCATACAGGATGCTGGGAATCAAACTCAGACCAGCCGCATGAAAAGACAACCACTCTAACTGCTACACTACTGTCACTTAATAGTCTTATTGACATTTCTAACTTCTCATTTAATCCTTATTGTTAGTTGTTTTTCGGAAAGTTCAAACTTGGAAAAGATATGCATTTGATCTATAAATAAATGTAACATAAACTAAGCCAAGATATTTTACTTACAGCGCCACCAGTAGCAATAGCCATGTCTTTAAGCTGGTTCTTCCTATTGTCACCAAAACCTGGGGCTTTGACTGCTACAACTTGAAGACCCACCTTTAGCCTGTTAAAAAGTTAATTGCATTTAGTAAAGCTAATAAAATATGTCTCTAGTTATTTTTAAGCTATGTTAGTTGGGAAACCACTTTTTAGGTTTTAATTTTTCAACTCTAACTCATGTTAAGATAGGACACAGGAAATTACTGTGTACTGTTGTAATTTCATTACTGTTTCCTAATATCAAATGATAAATCAGTGACACTTAAGTTAAAAAAAAGTTATCATAAAAGTGTACGCCAACTTTATAGACTATGAAAATCAGCCTATTGGTTTTTGGAGGCGGGTGGGAGGCAAGAAAACATTTTTCATATCAAAACTTTTTGTATTTGTTTTTGACATTAAAACCCAGCTGCGCTCAGCAGATCATATGGGGTTTAAGATCAAACCTGGGTCAGCCACATGCAAGACAAATTCCTCCTACCCTCTGTACTATCAAACTGGCACCTATATTTAAATCTGGGGTTTATTTAAGAAGCACTTACCCATGGATTCCACTTAATATTGTCTAAAAAAAATTGCGCTAACAGGGACAGAACCCAGGGTCTCAAACGTACAAAGCACAAGGTCTATTTCTGAGTCACTACTTCAGCCCCTTAAAGTCAGGTCTGAATAGTGAATTCAGTTCACTTACAAATGCAAATACTGTGATACAGGCATGAAATAAGCGAAAGCTAGTATATTTTACTGAGACAGTATTTTTTTTTCTTGTGTCTTCAAATCTTACCACCAATCAAGCTATACGTATTCTGAAAAGGAAATTCAGAGGTTTGGAAAGAATACTATAGATAGAAACAATCTGATATATGCCGAACATTATTAATCATTTCTATTATAAAACTGAAAATAAGTATTCACTTGAGTTAGCACACCCGAAGCATTTCCTGTTTTAAGTGAAAATATATTTAACAGACTTTTATTTGTAACAGAACATACAGGATATTCAAGGCCAGATTTAAGGCACTAATGGCAGCCATTTATAGGGGCCAGAGATCAATTGTTCAACCCCCAGGCACTTCTAACAAGAAATTCAGATAGTTGTTTACTTTTATCTTCCTAAAAGTGAAAATAATTCCCTCAGAAAGAAGACAAAGGAGTCACACATCACCAGATCCACTTATTAAGTAGAAATGGAGCCAGCACACACAAAATTAGGTTATCTCACGAATTGTAACAAAACATTAAGGAATTTGAGACCACATTAAAAAAAAAAAAAGAACCAAAGATCTCAGGGAACACACCAAGTGGTAAAGCACACACTGAAACCCAAAAGCACCAAGCCAGCAGCACTGGGAATGGCTCCAGGGCCCACACACTGTTGACATTGGTCCCATGCAGAAAAAAAATGGCGAAACACTTTAAGTGGCTTGGGGGCCACAAACAGCAATGCTCAAGAGTTACTCCTGGCTCAGCGCTCAGGAATCACTCCTGGTAATCTTGGAGGACACCACACAGGATACTAGGTATCAAATCTGGTTAGGCTTGTCCAAGGCAAGTGCCTTACCCACTGTACCATCTCTCTGGCCCCGAGAACCACTGTAATAGAAGTTCATGCTGCCCACATCACCACAACTCTAGACATAAACAAAGTTGTCTTTTCCCCCTAGTTTTTGGGCCACACCTAGCAGTGCTCAGGGGAGCACTGTGGTTGCCAGGGGTTCAAATCTGGGTTGGTCTTGTGCAAGGTAAGTGCCTTAACCTGCTATATTATCTCTCCAACGCCATGCACAAGTGGTCTGATGTCAGGTAACAAGTTTTCAAACATTAATAATTGCTTTTCATCTAGAAAAGTAAACAAAGAAACACTGTCCACTTACCTATTTAAAACAAGCGTACTCAAAGCTTCTCCATCAACATCTTCAGCAATTATGACCAGGGGCTTCCGGTGAGCATTGGCAATTTCAAGAGCAGGTACAATGGACTGGACACTAGAAATTTTCTTTTCACTCAGCAGAACGTAGGCATCTTGGAATTCACATTTCTGACCTATAAAAAGTTTTGAAGCCAATCTTAGAACATGAAGGATATTCTCAAAATGCTACAATTTATTTACATAAAAAAAAAAACCAAGCCAACCATTTTACAAAGAGACACTGGACTTCGGGTGACTTGGGGTACAGGGGGTCTCTTTTACATCTGGTTGGCCTGGATCGGATCCCTGACAACTCCTATGATCCCCAGGGGTCACTGCTGAGAAACCCCTGAATGTCAGGCGTGGACCCAAAACAAAAGGGCTGGGAGATGGGCAGAGGAATAGCAAGAAAGCTCAAACAAGTTGAACTTAGTGTAAATGAAGGTCAGATTGATCCTAGGCACCGCATGGCACTCTGGGCATGAAAGTCCCTGAGCATCACTGGCTATGGCCCAAAACAAAAACAAAGTGGGTGATAGGAAAAACAATGAGTGGGTAAGAGCTCAGTTGCTAGAGTTCAAAGTTTGATCCTTGGCACTGCAGAGCACTTTTGAGTACCACCAATTGTAGGATGACAATGCTGTGTCCTTTCTCCCTTTCTCCACAAGGAGCTCAGGTTTATCTGGTTATACCCATCACAGTGCTCCTGCGGCACTTCCATTCCATTGTATTTATCTGTAAATTCTTCCCTATGCTCTCCTCCCCAACCAGTTAATCAGCTTTTCCCCTAATCAGACTCTGTTAACTTGTAAGGTTAGATTCCTCAGAAATCTATGATTTTATATGTATGAGTGAAATATTGCCTTTCTCCTCTCCTTAGGAATAGTTTACTTTAATGCAATGTCCTTTTTGTATAGATACAGGAAGACCGTTAACATTATGCTCTGTAACTTAGGATTTAATTGGCTTTGAATATTATTCACTCCCAGGCAACTGCTTTCTCGACTTAAGCCTCAGTTGCCCTTAGTTACTAACACCCCTAAAGCAGGGTCCCGACGAGGGACTGAATGGACCCAGGGCAAGCGGTGAGCTACCCTGGCATCGAAATGGGCCAGGCCAAAGTGCCACGATTCTTAACTATAAAAGTTTGATCATAGACAAATGCTGTCATGATCCAAAAGTAACGACAAGACTAGGATCCTGCTAGGGGTAGGAAAGACTATCTGGCCCGAGCACTGCAGTCTGAGATCGAGATGGCCCTAGGAGGGCGATTCTAGAAATTTAAGTATTTCTTACTGTATCCATACAAAATGATCTATATTATACATGCTTATATGTTTGTTAGACAAGGAGAGGAGAAACACACCCAGGGGAATCTGCTCTAGGGTGGATTGATCTGTTAATGAGGATCTGTCCTAGGAGCGGATGTCCCAGAGGGAAAGAATTCTACCCCTATTGATTGTGATCGCACCTATGTGTGATTGTTACTCCAAACCCTCATGCTTTGGGATTTAACTGTACTATAAGAGTGGCCCGGGGGATCAGAATCCAGACTCCAGAGCAAGAGGAGCAAGGGAATCAGAATCAAAATTCAGACTCCAGAAAAGGAGGGTGAAGGGTGATCGAGAAGGAGAATGAAGTAACATGGGGGAGGAAGAAGCAGGAGGGGAGCCAGAGGAGACAGACAGGAGTGGATGGAGAGAGGATTGGAATAAACAGCAACTAAGACCAACCAGTCTGGCCCTCGTTTCCTGACTTCGCCTGCCCATCGCCATCGACCTCCCTGGGGTGGGGGAAGCAGGGTGAGACCACCGAACGCTGGCGACGGGACAGATAGACCGCTGCTGCTGCTGTGTGCCCTTTTTTTAGTTTACACACCAACGTAACCAAGGGCTGTCCACCCACCTCTGCAGCAGCTGGGTGTGGTAGTCACACCTGGCCTATAGGTCAAGCACAGCACAGCACAGGCTGCTTTCTCTATGTGTGAGGTTCCATTCCCAGACAATACAAACAACCAACAAAAGCCTATTACAAAACAAAGTCTACTTATTTGGGGGGGGTGGGGGGTGGGTTTGGTCAAAGGTTTTGAGATTCAACTAGTGGTGCTATGTACAACTGTACTATTGCCCTGACCCCTAAAGTCCACTTTGAAAGTTAGACTTTGAAAGTTAGGCTTTTCCTTTCTCATACAAATTAACTTTGGAATGTATGAATTAATTTTTCTCATATCAATGCCTACAATCTATTTTTTAATTTATTTTGGATTGAATTCAGGTTGTCCATAAGCAATGGAAGTATCTTATCCACAGTACTATCTTTCCATTCAAATGCCTACAGTCTAAAAACATCCAACTGTTCTAAAAAATTTGTTATTGGGACCAGACAGATGGTACAAAGAGATGGTATGAGCACTGCCGGGTGTAACCCCCTCACACAACCCCCCCCCAAAAAAGGGGGGGGAGTAAAGAAACCTGTTATAGGACAACTCAAAGGGGTGAAGCCCTCAGAGCACCCCAGAGTACCTTGGGGCACAGACCCCCAATCTTTAAGCTACCGACTTCTCTTACCTTTTGAAGTATTAATAAAATATGGAGAAATATAACCTCGATCAAACTTCATCCCTTCAATAATTTCTAATTCATCATTCAGCGTTTTTCCATCCTAAAGTCAAAGAAACAGTTATATGAATTTCAATAAGACACATAATTTATAATTAAAGCCCATCCTACTATACACCACTGATCAAATGTATCCATGAAGCATACAAGAAATCCCAGGGTCCCACTAAACTGAGACAAGTATCACTCTAGTCCTGCTGTGCGATAATTTTTCAAAGTGAATAATTTAAATCAACTTTTAATAGCTAAAATTGTCCTTTATGTTAGGAATAACCACATGAAACAATCTACAGATTATTATACAAAACCCCACTTGTACAGATGCTCATATTACATGAAAAAAATTGAATACTCATTTTGAAATATACAGACTTAATTTTTGTGTTTGGAAAAACTCAGTTTTGATCACCAAACACAGCATTTTACACTACCATTAAAAAGAAAACGGCTGGGTGCACTCCATTCTGTATTCAGTCCGTACATCCGAACTCTGCAGAATTTGTTTGCAGAGTTATGGTGCTCTTCTGTTACATTTCCAAAATAAAACTATTTCCTCACTTCAAGTTTTAAGAAAAAAACAAAACAAAACCTCCACCAGCTAACAGGTGGAATACACCTATCACCCAACTCCTGAGCATTTATTTTAGAAAAAGAACTCTTGCCTTTACTGTGATGACACCCTTCCTTCCAACCTTCTTCATTGCATCAGAAATGATGGTGCCAATTTCTTTGTCTCCATTAGCAGAAATAGTAGCAACCTGAAATAATCAAGATACCTTTCCATATTAAAAGGCAAGTCTATTGTCCTCAAAGAAATCCACTTCTAGAAACTTTCACATTAACATTCTTTGGGGGGGGGGGGTTGCTTGAAAACAAAGGGGATTTTATGTTTTATGACAGTTCTACTGAAGTACTGGTTCTCAATTCTATTTTTTATTACTTGGCTATATTTTGAAAAAATATGAAATAAAATCATTCTTTTTAAATTAAAGGGGGGCATATACTGATACCATTGTTCTTTTCACCTTGGCAAATGTAGCAATATTGCAACATGTCAAAAATTATGCATCTTCAACAAAGGCTGAAGAACATTTAAAAAAAACAATTAACAGTTCCCTGGGAGACAGCTTCAGAGAGCTGGACAACTAGCTTTGCATATAGAAATAAAATCCCAAATATTTAACTGTGAAAAAAGAGGAAAATCCCTTACCTGAGCAATTTCTTCAGGAGTTGTCACTGGTTTAGACTGCTTTTTAAGTTCAGCAATTACTGCATCTACAGCTAGCATCACACCTGGTTTTAGAATGAAAGGTCTAATTACCTTCATAGTTAATATACTTCTTTGGTGAAATACTTTTCCTAATTACATGGAGGATAGCATGAATTTCAATATAATGACATCAGACAATTTTGAAAATTGGATGGGGGAAAATCATAGCCTAACAATTTTTAAAAACTCAAATTCACCCCATTTTGTTAAGTCATCCCCCAATTCAATTATGCAGCACACTCTATTGGGGTGTGAAATTGACCTAACCACTTCCCCTCAATGGAGTGAGACACAAAAGGAACAAAATGGATTATAATTCCTAACTTTAAACAAGTTTAACTCTCAAGAATAAGTAACTCCACGTGGCTGACTAAGCCTCTATAGGTCTGACTCACCTGGTATCTCATTTAATGTAATTATGATTTATAAGATTTTTGCTTGTGGGGGCCCCCCAGAGGTGCTCAGGGAACTATGTGTAGTGACGGGTATGAAACCAGGGCCAGGAACACACATGCAAGGCCCTGCTCTTTACTTCAGCCCCCATAAAAGTGCTTTTAAAGGTCAAGAGCAGCACATTATGAATTTATTCAAGACCCCATTTTAACTGGCACTAGCAATATTTATTTTAAATTACTACTTTAACAAAAATTTAGGAGCCAGAGTAAGTGGGAAAACTGCTTGCTCTTCTAGGATGAAGCTCCAAACTCAATCTCTGGTAGCATTCTCTCTCCTCTCCCCAGCTAAAAGAGCCAAAGATACGTAGTAATCATTTTCTCTGGGAAAATCCCAAAGTCTGCAATAATTTCAATTAATATTTGACAGTACAGTGGTAGGGTGTTTGCTTTTGTATGCTGCCAACCCAGGTTTGATCCCTTGCATCCCATATATCCCTCCAATACACCTCCAAAAGTGATTCCTGAGCAGAGCCAGGAGTGACCCCTGAGCACTGCTTGGCGTGGCCCAAAAACAAAAATGAGTTTCATCCACCATCAAAAAAATATATAAATGAATTGGCTTTTCTTAGGGATTAGAGCACCTCCTGATGACATGGAACGCTTTAGTCACATTTCCTGCTTTTCTATCAAGCATATTGGCCCCACACAAAGCCAGGCATTCAATCACCCACTGCTTAAGAAAAACAGTAAAAATCTTTTTTTAAGAAGAGGAAGAATCAACTAAGATGACTAACAATTAAAAACAAAGAATAAAAAATAGTCCTACCTCTTCTGATTTCCACTGGGTTAGCACCTTTGCTAATCTTTTCGAAGCCCTCCTTGGCAATTGATCGTGCCAATACAGTAGCAGTAGTGGTACCATCTCCAGCCTCTTCATTTGTGTTATTGGCAACATCTTGAACAAGTTTGGCGCCAATATTTTTATATTTATCTTTTAAGTCAATGGACTTAGCAACAGTCACACCATCTTTGGTTACTTTGGGACTTCCCCAACTCTGTTCAATAATCACTGTTCTTCCCTATAATTAATTACAGAGAATGAAATAAGTTTCAGGATCATACATTGACATTACTATTTATAAAAATATAAATATAAATATGGTATTGAATCTCAGAGCAAATTCTTGCTGCCTTGCCAAATGCATATCCCTGAATGGGGTATTATGGGAGTATTATGGGAGATAAGGATCAAAAATATCCTTCATATTTTCTATTAAGTTAACCCTAGGGTTTACTATATTTGAAACTGAACGTAAACTTGTATTTTTAAAACTTCTCTTTAATAAAAGGAAGTCAAGTACAGTGTCTTCATTCACGGATGGTCAACATTAAATCTCAAACTATAAGACTCAAATGTGTTACTTACAGTAACACAGCTTTTGGATTCCAGCCAAACCTCCCATTTGCAAAGCAAAGCAATACCTTGTTTTCAATTGGAAATAAAGCAATCAACTATGCATCATCGTCAAAGATTTCAAATTATTTTTTACTTCTGACTCACCAATTGCTCACATTAAACGTGACCTAAATTTTTCAAGTGCTCTGAAATAGAAAGGACAGCAAGAAAACTGTAAAACTAGTACCTATAAGCACATACTTGAGGTACTAGGGAAGATACACTAACTCCTTGTCTCTATACTTGGAATTATTGGGAAAGGCGCCAAAATTTAACTCAAGCAGATTAAGTCTACTTTGAGTTAAGAATTCACCTGGAGCTATGAGTTACCAACTGATTGCATCACACATTCAAGTTTGGCAAATCTGGCATAAGCAACTGAGTACTTTAAGACCATTATGTTAATAAAAAGGGGGAAAAATAAGTTGCAACTTATGGTACACTGAATAATCCCCTCCCCCAAAGAATACTTCAATAGTTCAAACTGTGGGTCTGCATCAACGAAACTTGTTACTCCTTCAACAAAGATACTGGATGGTAAAATAAAAAACGTTGATACCTTTGGCCCCATAGTAACGGCTACGGCATCGGCTAAAAGGTCTACACCTTGAAGCATTAAGGCCCGGGCATCTGCACCAAATTTGACATCTTTGGCATAAGCCCGAGTGAGATGAGGTGCCAGTGCCCTGGACACTGGTCTGATCTGGCGAAGGACTGCTGGTAATCGAAGCATTTCTGGAAGAGGAAATGAAGAATTGATGAGAACTAGAGCTCCCCTGTAGTCGGTTATAACGTGACACCAGGTCCCACTAGGACAGAAAAAAATATTCGACGAGGGCCGCTACATCGAGCCCTGGCTACCGGCGCATGTGCGCGGACGGCCCCGCACGCCAGACCTAGAGCGCCAGCGCAAAGCACAGTCCTTCTGCTTCCCGGGCTCTACCACCTACCCCTGTGGCTAAAAAATGAGTTCATCTTTCACCGCAGAAATGGCTTTGAAAAGCAAACCCACCCCAAAAGGGCCACGGGGCCGTGGAACAAAAGTCTAATAGAAAGGCGGGGGGGGGAGGATTAGAAAATCGGGGATCCAGCTATGAAGGAAGTACAATCACTACTGACGCTGCAAAAATTCTCCGAGTAAAATGTGTCCCCGTGTATCCACTCAGAGCTACAGTAGTGGGGGCGGCGGCCCGGCCCACTCGCCGCGGCCCCACGTGGCTTTCCATCAGGACGCCCCGAGCAAGGTCAAGTGTGCAGCCGCCGTACCCCGACCGCCGGCGGGGCCAGAAACAGCAGCCCCGCTCGGCTGCGACCACCGCCACCCTCCCCGACGTCCTAGAGTCGACCAGGAAGGCGATGCATGGGAGGGCCCGGAGAATCCCAGCCCCCCTTCCCCAGCACCCGGTTCTCAACCCACCCCGCGACTGAGCCCTCCGTGCCGCAGCCGGCCCGGGCCCCGCGATGCACGCGGCACGTGACGGGCCCCCGCGTGCACCCGCCCGGCCTAGCTCGGCGCGGCCCGGGCCTGCAGCGGCGTGGGGGAGCTCTGCCTGGCTCGCGGCCGCCGGGCGCCCTCGGGGCTGGACGGCGCGGCGGTGGGGGCGGGGGGAGGCCCGGCTCCGGGGTCCCGGGGCGCCTCGGAGCAGGGGGGGAGGGGGAGGCGGCGCGTGGAGGCCGCGTACCTGCGGGCAGCGGCGAGGCAGGCCGTCGGCGGCGAGTGAGGGACAGAGTGCAGGGCGCACACGGCAATGAGCCCGTGTCCCCTCCCTCCGCCGCTTCCCCCGCCCCGCGGCACCGCGCGTGCGGCGGGCTCCCACCCCCTTCCCGTCGGCCCGGGGCCCGGCAATCGGCACGCGCAGTGCGCCCGCCCCGCCCCTCCCTACCCGCGCTGGGGCCCGGCCTGCGGGCTCAACCCTGGGCAGCCTGCTTAAGCTCGTTCCCGGGCGGCTCTCGCTTCCAGAACTTTCCGGGCAGCGCCGCGCTCGCTGTGGGTCAAGGGTCAAGCTGCGTCATTTCCGGGAGGGGGGCGAAGGGCTAGTCCTTTCACCTCGGCGGGCGGCCTAGAAAAGCCTAGAAAGAGCTCCTCTTTCTTCCGCCTCCCGGTCCTGGCGTCAGGGGCCTGCGCAGGGCGCTCGGGGACGAATCGCGGCGCGCGCCGCTGCGGCCGCCCACTCGCGCGGGGAGGGGCGGGCGGCGGGGGGCGAGCGCGCCTGCGCACTGCGCGGCCTTTTCCCACATTCACGTGGCCGCGGGGCCGGACTGCGGGGCTCTTCTCCGTTCGGCGGCGTGAGTGCGGAGCTCGGGAGTGCGGCAGTCGGCGTCATGGTAAGACCCGCGTGGCTCGCGGGTCTGCGGGCCCGGCGGGGCCTGGAGCGCTCCAGGAGTTGGGACAGGTCTCCTGGGGCCGAGCCGAAGGGGGCAGGGGCCACCTAGTTGACCGCAGCCGAGAGAAGCGACACCCCCACCCCCAGTGACTCTTCCCTCCCGCCGAAGGCGTCTTGCACCCGCGCGTGCAGCGGCCGAGGGGGCCGGGGTCTGGGAGGGAGCAGGGGCTGCGCACCTGCAAAGGCGCCCCACGGCCGAGCCGCTGCCCCTGCTTAGCCCTCACAGCGTGTCGAAAGCAAGCATGGCCCTAGGCGGAGGCTTTGACCTCCCCGTTTGCTGAAATCTTCAAGCAAAACGGAGACGCGTTTGACCTTGGAATAAGTTAAGGTCACCCTTGGGACTGTCCTGGCTGCTGCCCTGGGGCGCGACCACGACCCCTAACGCACCTAGGGATTGGGAAATTGCCTCGGGAGATAGCGTGGAACCTTCCGCGGCTTTCCTTGAAGATTGGAGCTGATTTTCGCAGTTATCTTGGCGAGCCACATGTGGTTGCTGGCTCACCGGGGCGGTGGATTTGTCTCTTTAGTTGCAAGTTTTCTTTCCGGATATAATCTCTCTCTCTTTCTGCAGGCAGGACAAGCATTTAGAAAATTTCTTCCGCTCTTTGACCGCGTCTTAGTTGAGAGGAGTGCAGCTGAAACTGTAACCAAAGGAGGCATTATGCTTCCTGAGAAATCTCAAGGAAAAGTGTTGCAAGCCACGGTGGTTGCTGTTGGATCGGGCTCGAAAGGGAAGGTAAATGGAGTCTAAATGTTTCTATGTAAATTAGGGGCAAAGAATAAGTGGATTATTACCAAAAGTAACCTCTACTTTTGTTATATTCAAGATCTTGTGCTTTTTTTAAAAGTTACCGCTTTTCTGTTGGGAGTTCTAGAATATCAGTAATGCATGAGCAAAATTTAAGTCTACATTTTTGATAAACCAAAAACTGGTTTATAGAGCTTTTGATTTATCAAGTTTGATAAATTAGTGGAAAGGGGCCAGAGGGTACTGCAGATAGCGAGCTTGCCTTTTAGGGGACCAGGGACCATGATTCTATCAATGGCTCACACCACACTCCCTCCCCCAAATCTCCAGAAGTAAGGTTTTTAGTTTTTTTTAGTGAAACACCATGAGGTACAGTTCTAGACTTAAAATTTTTGTGCTTGGGTTTCAGTTATACAATGACCAAATACCCATCCCTCCACCAGTGCCCATTCTCCACCACCACTGATCCCAGTATCCCTTCCACCCCCCCAGAAGTAAGTTTGAGTGCCTCTCCCCATCCACCACCACCACCACCCCCAAAAAAAATTCCTGTGGAAAGATAATCGAGTGGCCGAGGTCCAGAATTGAGAGGAAACTTGAACTCTATGCTTTGGTCTCACCCAGTGATCGATGCTCAGGGGCTTCTCCTGGTTCTGCATGCAGTAACTTCTGGCGGTGCTTGGGGACCATATGGGGCATCGGGATCACTCTGGCCTGGATATTTGAACTCTTAGTTCCATAATTGTCCGAATCTTTTAATCATGGCCTTAAGCATGTTTATAAGGGGAAAATTAGACTGCCCTTACTGGGATTTTGCTGTGAACTGTTAGCCAGAATGCACCGTAAATGTCCTTGGGGTCAAGTAAGTTAATTGCAAAGTTCCTGCTGCCTTGGGGAAAGTTCTAGTAAGGAGCTATACTGGAGTTAGGAATAGGGAAAAGCCCTAGGGAGAACTCTGCTTCAGTCCTTATTCCAAGTCTGTATTTGGGAGAAAAATTACATTGATTCGAAGTGAGTTCAAATTCAGAAAGTCTATATAGGAGTTTTTTTTTTTTTGTATGTTGAAATATCAAAGATGATGGTATCTATATAGTTGTAAAAATTGGTTTGTTCACATAGTACATGGGTTGCACTAATATTTTAATGATTAAAAAGTTTGATTTAAAGCACCTTCTTCTGTTAACTCCCAACTTTTACACTGAAACCAGCTTATAGTTGAATCCACTGTGTGCAGTAATTTGAGTATGGAGGAGTTGGTATAAAGGGATTGAACTCTGCTGAGGGGGTTGCCTCCAACAGTGCGCTGGGGTATCATACAGTCGGTGCCAGATGTCACAAAAGTGTTGTGTAAATATTTGCGGAGCTAGATGTCTTCTAATGAATAACTTTTTTTTTTTAAGGGTGGAGAGATTCAACCAGTTAGTGTAAAAGTTGGAGATAGAGTACTTCTACCAGAATACGGAGGCACCAAAGTGGTTCTAGATGACAAGGTGTGTAAAATGAATGATTTTTAAAAGAAATTAAGTCTTTACTGTAAGTTTTCTTAACTAATCTTTTCTGTATTTGCAGGATTATTTCTTGTTTAGAGACGGTGATATTCTTGGAAAGTATGTAGATTGAAATACCACTATTGAAATGGCATCCCATGAAGCTGCCCATTCCACGAAGTTCTGAAATCTTTCATCATGTAAATAATTTCCATGTCTCTTTTATAATAAACTAGTGATATCCAAACTAATGACAACAGTCTCTAACTTTTAGTTTCACTGTACTGATATAAATGCTTCTAAATAAAAATATGTATAAATGAATAATTTTTAGTGATTTAATAGCCTTAATACATCATAATTGATGCTGATACAAAGCCTTGAAACTAAAAATGAAGGGGCAATATTCTAACCTTATGCGTAACAGATTGTAATTAAAGTGTAATTGGAATAGCCTCTAAAGATATTTTTAGAAACTTCTTTTTTATGTGTGTGTGCTTGGGATCAGACCCAAGGATTCTCATGCAAGGCATATACCTTATCCCTATCCCTCTGTCACATAATGTGGTTCCATTATATTAGGATAAAACATCACAAAGGCTGGTTTGATAGTTGGGGTCAAACCCATAGTCTCATAAGCAAAGCATGATTTCCACCATTAAGCTATATACCAAATCCCTGAACTGAACTATAAATTATAAATCTAAGCCCTGGGCACTTCTGGTTTTCAAAACTTTACTGAAAATACTGGGTTTAAAAAAAAGAGAAAAACCAAGGCCAGGTATGATTTTTAACACAGGCTAGTGCTATCTGCTAGGATGGCACTGCTAATGGTTACAGCTAATACCTTAGAACCTTTTCTAAGGCCTGACAAGTGTTGTATCAATTATTGGTTTGTGTTTTTTGTGGGTTTTTTTTTTTTTTTTTGCTGGGAGGAGGGTTTGAGTCACACCCAACTGTGCTTTCAGATAATTCCTGATAGTGCTCAGAGAACCATGTCCAGAAAGAAATGGGGGCTGACCAAGTGCACGGCCCCGACCCACTATACTACACCCCCTGGTTTAATTTTTCAACAGCTCTGTGAGTTAAGTCCTAGGGTTTTTACCTTACTGATGAGGACTTGAGCAGAGAAGTTAAGTAATAACCACAGTCATTGACTAGGAAGCCCCAAATCCTGGATTTGTATGTACCCAGGTCCAGGTCCAGATAATCCTTTATAGACTCATTCTAAGTATTTGCTACGCTCACAATCATGATCATCCTGTTCGTTGATTACCTTGAGCAGGCACCAGTAACATCTCCTTCATCCTAGCCCAGAGATTACAAAAAGTGCCACATTCAAGGCTCTTTTCAGTGTTAGGAGAATGAGACCCATAAATGACTGATGTTAATCACTAAGGTGTGGGATAGATGGTATCTTAAGTAGCTGTGAGTAGGTATCTGGTATACATTCAGGAAATAGGAATACATTCTGGTATACATTCAGGAAATGGGAAACCAAGAAGGGTAAAAAAGCTTGAAATGAGTGAAGATTACCAACTCAAATTTATCATTTCAGTTAAATCTGTTTTCATTGTATCACTTCAGTTACATATTTCCATTGGTCAGTTTTGGGTTTTAAAATTCCTGTGTTTATTTTTGAGATAATGAAAATAGTAAATGACATGGAATAATCTTTTTAATATCTAGTAAATTAGATACATCCTTGAATTTATGGATATGTTGTATTTGATATACTATGGCTTAATTTTTACCATACGGCAGAGCCTGGCAAGCTCCCTGTGGTGTATTTGATATGCCAAAAACTAACAAAAATGTGTCTCATTTCCTTTACCCTGGAAGAGCCTCCAATACAGCAGCGTTGTGAAAGACGAGTAAGGAGAGGCTGCTAAAATTTCAGGGCTGGGACAAATGGAGACATTACTGGCACCCATTTGAGTAAATAGATGACCGGGATGACAGTGAATACAGTGAATTTTTACTATGTTTAGTTACAAGAATACTAAATGTCTTTAAAAAGTATTTTCAATTGAAATAACATTGTTTTGCAAGAGTAAATGTTTGTTTTTGAGGAGTATGATGTTACCACACAGTGCCCACCACCAGATGTAGTAGTACTTCCACCACAGTTCAGCAGACCTTCTCTAGAATCCTTCCACATAGTTTTTTTAACCTTAGTTCTGAGTTTAAAGGTTTGTTTTCTTTGAACATTGCCCTTTTTCCTAAAAGCTCATTGAAATACTACCTAAGTGGGTCATCAGTTTACTAATTAGTATAAGCTCTGTGATGCCCTGAAGTAACCTCATTACATTGTGATGATGAGTAGATAATTTATAAAAGTCAGAAAAGTTGAAGAAACTAAAACTGTCGTTAGGGATGCAGTCTCAAGGCCATGATTTCCCCC